ATTGCAATAAAGTTGCACTTTGCCGCCCGAATGTTCGATGCCTGTTTTGAAAATGTCACACGCAGTTCGCTTTCTGTACGTTTTGTAGAAGCAATGTTGTACCCAATTTTAATGACTAATTCATTGACGGGTGTTTTATGTCTAATGCCGACTATTAATTGCATATGCAGAACAACAATGTATCAATATGAAGCGAATATTACACTGCTTCGACTCTCCAACAAGGTAACAGCCAGCAGGAAAACCTGTTTCCCATCTGGACACATAAATTCATAATGAATTCGAGTTACAAGAGTTTCGAACTTCGTTCATATACCGTTATAAATCAAAATTTTGCATGGCTTTAAGTGTAAATTTATCGTTGTCGATCGGTCCGAGGCTCGAACTCACTAACCTTTCCCTACTCGATAATTTCTTATTTCGAATCAGCTGTAGGCAAAAGAAAGCCATGAAGGTTACCTTTAATGTTCCTGTACAATTTTTTTTTTATAAATTAAACACATGACATTGACAAAATTATTTTGTTCTTACTGTGTTATAATATGGATAATTAGCTAAGATGTTAAAGCAATCCTGAAACGGTCGTAAAAGGATAATATACGGAATATTTTGACTAACATTCTTCAACCAAAGCTTACTCAATAACAATGTAAAATAAAAAGAACACGAAATTCAATTTCACCCGGAAGAAAACACAGAAGACACACTTTATTCTTTTAGCAAACAAAAGTTAAATATTTACAAAAAAGTCAACTTCGTTTCAGTTCATCTATTCGAGAAAATAGGTCGCACGGGTAATCGTCCAATATTAGCAAAATTTATATCAATCAAGGATAAAAAAATTGTACTGAAAAACGGATTCAAATTAAAGGGGAAAAATTTAGGAGTGCAAGAACAACTTCCAAAAGAATTGAACAAAAACGAAAAACTTTATACTCGGTGGCAAAACAGGCCAGAAGGGAATAATGGAAAGTGCTCTTGGTAAGAGACAAACTGAACATTGATGGTAATTTGTTCAAACCAAATTCTGAAGTAGCTGGAAACGAAAAAGTACAAGATGCATGTGCTTCGAGTATTGTGCATGGGCGATATATACCATAACAGTACGAAAGATCAACACATGAATCTGAATCATCGCAGCATAAATGGTTTTCGCGTGTTGAAACAAGTGAAACAAGATTTGACTACCAAACACTTAAAACACAGATAATTCTTTAAGAAATACTTCTTAACTAACAATTTTTATACATGAAACGAAATTATTCTACTTAAATGATAAAAGGGAACATTATTTCGTCAAATTATTACTTTGCTATTAATAACTTTTTTAAAGACAATCCATGTTTAAATATTTCTATGAAAACATCATGATTCACCATCACTGTGACAGAGGGTTATTTTGTAATTTTTGTTTTCTGTATACCATTGTATTCACAATGGTTATCGGAATAAACTTACTTATAACAAAACGTTTGCTATCTTTACTACATTAGTACCATTCAGCAAAGTTTCCAGTGCTGTGAAACGTTTAATGAGGAAAATAGTTAACATTTTTGTGTAAAGTGGAAACTATAGCTCAGATATAAAAATTATAAATGAGTGATTGATTAGGAATATTTAAATGTCGGCATTAAATGAGAGGCGAAAGATACCAGAGGGACATTCAAATTCACAAGACGAAAACAAACTGACAACGCCATAGCTAAAAAAGAAAAAGACCAACAGACAAACGATAGTACACAAAAACAACAGTAAACTAAAGACTGAGCAACACAACCCCACCAAAAACTGGGGGTGATCTCAGGTGCTCCGGAAGGGTAAGCAGATCTTACTCCACATAAGGCACGCGTCGTGTTGCTCATGTTAGTACAAACCCGGTAACATGTTCAGTTCGGAAAGTCACATTCGGGAAAAGCGGGGATAGGATTGTAGTTACGAAATTGGGAACCTATCCGCTATCATCTGTGAAACAGATATTCCATAACGGTGAACCAATGCAACTCGTAATGGCGTCTCTAAAACTTACGAAGGTATGCTTTTAAAGGTTGCCGTACAAAAAGGTGAGATCAGTTTATTTTCAAATAGTTAAAAATGCAACAAAAGTAAAAATCAAAATCTGAACGAGTGGTTTATTGATATGTAAGTAAACGTGATTGAGTCGTTTACAAGCGACAAGAAGTGTCAAATTATATATGCTATATATCTGTATATGGCTGTTTATTAACGTGGATACTGCTCTCCAGACTGTCTTTGATAAAAAAAAAAAAAAAAGCATAACCTGCTTTTATAAGACAAATTCGATACCAAGTATGATGAAATGATATTGATGTTTTACCTGTATTTGTCATTTTTCCAATTTCTTCCTCAGGTTCTGTAGAATTTGTTAAAAGCCCTGAAAATACATGTATTTAAATATATTGTTTTCTTCAATATTTCCTCCAAATATTTACAATTGCCAATGAGTAAACATAAGAGGTACCAAAAATCCATCCAATCAAGGAGATCGAAACTTATAGGCATACCATATCTTTGTATTGATCTTTATTCTTACCCAATTAAAAGTTTGAAGCTTGACATTGCACAAGACACTGAATTTATGGAATGGTTTTGATGTTACAGAGAAATACTGTGAAGTACAGCTACCATAATTACAGTGTTAGGCGGTGTGATTTCATAGCAGTAAATTAAGTTCTTGAGCTTACTTTTATTAATTGCGAGCATTCTTCAATAATGTAGCTACCTCGGTGGCCGAATGGTCTAAGTAGTCAAACTACTGTATCACTAGCCTGTCAACACTGAGGTTGTGAGTTGGAATCCCGCACTTGGAATCCTAATTGACTAGGATTGTCAGTTTTTCTACTGAAGGTTGTTTGTTCTCTCCGGGCACTCCGGCTTCCTCCACCAATATAAACTGACCGCCAAGAAATAGCACAATAGTGTTGAAAGAGGCGTTAAAACCCCAATTAATAAAACAAATCAATAATGTATGTGTTATCATTGATTTATTGCATTGACACTTGTGTCTTTTGAATCCACTAGTCTAATATGTTATTATTGAGTTAAGGGCTTTAATATTAATGAGTGTTTTGTTGTTTGTTCCTGTATGTACCATTCAATAATCCACTGATTAAAAAAAACATAATATTCCAAAGAGTCTGTATCGCCCGACTATGTCTATGTGCATCTTCAAGAATGGACACTTTCCAACATTGTAGACTAGGATATACTTAATGGCTAAACGCTCTGTTTGGTTGTTCTTGTATTTCTGATATGTTCTTTGTTTACAGTTTCTAACCACCTTTTATAGTTTTTTACCTAAATCACAAAAAAAGGTTTAAAAATCCTTTAAAAGTTTGAATCTTTAAGGGCTATAACTCCTATAGGAAGACAACTGACAATTTCATATATGCTGACTTATTTGCAGATCTTGTCTTGCTGGTCGTTTATTTTAGTCCAATTGTCTATCTATCTTTTAAAATTTTCACAGTAATAAGCAAAAACGCCAAAAAGAAATGGTAAAAATCATCATCTAAGGGCAATAACTCCAAAAAGGAATCAACTGATGATTCTAGCCATGCAACTTATTTGTAGATCTTGTCTTGCTGATCATTTTACTGAATAAAGTTTCTCTGTATCGTAATTTTTAAGATAAAAGTAAAAAATGAAGAAAATAAAATGGATAAAATTCGTCATTTATGGGCAATAACTCCCAATACTCGTCTGATAGTTTTGATGTATATAAACAGGTGGTAGATCTAAACGTTCTGAATATTTCCCTATCTAATGTGGCATTCAAGATAATAGACAAATTTGTATTTTTTTCTACCCCAATGTTCTATTTTAGCCATGTCGGTCATGTAAGTTTGCAGACAGGGTCATTGGACACAGTTTTTAGATACCCCAATGACGATTTTGGCTAAGTTTGGTTAAATGCCCAGCAGTTTCTGATGAAAAGATTTTTGTAAAAGTGAACCGACGGCGACGACGAACGAACGACGGACGCCAAGTGATGAGAAAAGCGCATCCGGCCCTGTGGGCAAGATGAGCTGAAAAGGATGGAATAAAATAACAAAACTATTTTAAACCTGCTACATATCCAAGTACATGTCCAAAGAAAGCAACCTCGTTATAGATAATTGTCTTATGTCATACATATATTTTAATGCTTGTATGCTACTTTGGATAACTTGATGTTGGTTGCACATATTCGTAAGTTTCCGTTCAATGTATTCACAACTTTTCAGATCCCATCCACTTTTTTATCTAGCGATCACAGATTGAAGGTAGACTCGTTATTCAGCTGCAAATAACGAAGTACAAGTGAAACATGACTGTCGTGTGAAATATTTTTAATAAGGCAGTATTAACTTTGTCAACTGAGTTTTGAGTCGAATTGAGATGCTACTAAATACGATAAAAGATAGACATGAATTTCAGTTAAATTCTGGAAAAAAGTAAATACATGCCAAAGGGTAATCCTAAAGCTACTGTGATATTAAATATATAATATGATGTCATAAATCCACCACAACCTCCCATATGCATCTCAAAATCAAAATAGAATTCACTACCTATTGATGAACTGTTATTTATAAATGACGAATGTTTAATCCAACCGGTCATTAAGTTCACATTGTTTAGATAACCAACTCTTCTAGGATTGCTGTTATTCGGATTAAAATAGAAAGTTATGTAACTTTTCGGATTAGCGTCACAGTTTTTGAAGGTAAAATCCCTGTCTCCTGCACGATATCCTTGTATGGTTTTGCCTCTTGCCAAGCTCATTGGTAAAAATCCGAGAAACAAATATGGCGACATATAATCGGAATTTATGCTTTGAGGTCCTTGGTATGAAGTATGGTTGTTATATCCAAAGTAGAGATCAGACTTATTTTGATATCTTGTCAAATTTTCTACAGTAACTTCATTTTGTGTACCGTTGTTCCGCCTGATACGGATTTTAGCAAAGTTTCTAGCGGTGTATAATTTTGACATGTCAATTGATGTGTTATACGACGACTTTGATATAAATGTATACACCCAATCTCCCTCGAAGAAGCAATATACCTTAAAAGGTTTTTCGTTATGATAAAGTAAATATTCTCAACTGTTATTTCGATTCTTTGACAAGTATACTTCTTTGCAGGAACCTAAAAGTAGTTTCGATACTTTAAACATGTAACATTATATAAGAAACTGAACTCTGTTTCCACTCTTGCAAGTTTCAAAAAGTCTTTTAATCTTTACTTGAATTCACAACATTACCGTTCCATATCAGTCTGGCATAGGTGTACTTTTAAATCACCTCAAGATAGCCCAAAACCGCATTTTTTTCTTTAAATTTCGAATATTTTTTACGAAATATGTTTGATGCCAAGCTTAAAAGAGAGGCGAAAGAAACCAAAGGGACATTCAAACTCATAAGTCGAAAATAAACTGATAACGCCATGGCTAAAAAAGAAAAAGACCAATAGACAAAGAAAAGTACACAAAACACAACATAGAAAACTAAAGACTGAGCAACACGAACCAAACCAAAAACTGGGGGTGATCTCAGGTGCTCCGGAAGGGTAAGCAGATCCTGCTCCACATGTGGCACCTGTCGTGTTGCTCATGTTAGTACCAACCCGGTAATAAGTCGAATGCGGTAGGTCGCATTCGGGAAAAGGGGACGGGATTGTAGTTACGGCATTAGGAACATATCCGCTACCATCTGTGAAACGGATATTACGTAACGGTCAACCAACTCGTGATGGCGTCCATAACATTTACGAAGGGATGATTTCAACTTCACTAGTTGGAACTTGTTGGTTTAATAACTTCTTTGTGAGCAGCAACCCTCTATCAAGGAAATCATGATAGGAAATACAAGCCCTAGTGTATCGTATCAACTGGTAGATATATACTCCGTATGCATGCGCTGCTGGAATGTTGCTACATAAAAATGGAAAGTTCACAATTGGGAAGCTAAAATCATCTCTTTCGTCATAAAGTTTTGTTTTCAACCGACTTTCATTGTCAATTTCTAGATGTAAGTCAAGATATGAAGCAGATTTAACTGTATCTGTTGTATCCTTTATCTCAAGTTCGATGGGATAGGTGCGTTCAACATAGTCATCAAATTTTGAATTATTTAGTGAGAGAACATCATCTATGAAGCGGAAAGTAAAGTTAAATGATACTGCTAACTTCTTTTCTTTCTTCCTAAGAAGTTCCTGTATGAAGTCAGTCTCATATGAATGAAGGAACAAGTCGGCAGGAAGAGGGGCACAGTTGGTTCCCATGGGAATATCGATTGTTTGTTGAAAAACACGTTCTTCAAACGTAACAAATATGTTGTTAATCAAGAAATCAAGCATCTCGATAATGTCAGTTTCAGAGAATTTTTTGTTAGAATCAGAGTGATTTTTTACAAAGTAGGATTTATCCCTCCCTGAGACAAGATACTTGTATCTACGTTGGCCATTCTTTTTTATGAAACAAAGCAGGACCAACTCTTTCAATTTGTCCTTTAGTTTGGAATGGGGAATACCTCTGTAAAGTGTAGAAAAGTCAAATGTTTTGATACTTTTGCAAGATGAAAGAGTCTTAGATTGTATGTACTCTAAAAGATCTTAACCAACCCAAAATTCTGTTGTAAATATAGCTATATATTGTGTATATAGTTTTTTGGAAATGAATTAACTGATGTTGATATATAACTAAAGACTCTAATTTTCAAATTCCGAAACTATTATGTTCTAACCATGTTAGTGAAACAGCGGACGTTGGTTTTACTTCTTTGCGTCATTTTAAATCATTTTTAGCTCACCTGGCCCGAAGGGCCAAGTGAGCTTTTCTCATCTTTTAGAGAACCATTGAATGGGATGAAACCAAACATAGCATAAATGTTCCTTATGAGGTGCTGACCAAGTGTTGTTACTTTGAAGCTGATCCATTATCCAAGATGGCCGCTAGCGGGGGACTTAGTTAACATAGGATCCTACGGGAAATACATACAAATGTCTTCTTTTAGAGAACCACTGAATGGAATGAAACCAAACATGGTATGAATGTTCCTTATGAGGTGCTGATCGAGTGTTGTTTCTTTGAAGCCGATCCATAATCCAAGATGGCCGCCAGCGGGGGACTTAGTTTAACATGGGACCCTATTGGAAATACATACAAATGTCTTCTTTTAGAGAACCACTGAAAGGAATGAAACCAAACATGGCATGAATGTTCCTTATGAGGTGCTGACCGAGTGTTGTTACTTTGAAGCTGATCCTTTATCCACGATGGCCGCCAGATGAGGACAATGTTTAACAAAGGACCCTATGGACAATACATGCAAATGTCTTCTTTTAGAGAACCACATACTGAATGGATTGAAACCAAACATGGCATGAATGTTCCTTATGAGGTGCTGACTAAGTTTTGTTACTTTGAAGCTGATCCTTCATTCATGATGGCCGCCAATGGGGGGACTTCCTTTAACATAAGACCCTATGGATATACATACAAATGCTTCTTCTAGAGGTGCACTGAATGGAATGAAACCAAAACATGGCATAAATGTTTCTTATGAGGTGCTGATGAAGTGTTGCTACTTTGTTGTCGATTTACTGTTCAAGATGGCCACCAGAATTTTTTTCAAATTACAGGACCAATATTAAACCACATTTGGCCTCACTCATTATTAGGGTATCTGTTATGATTTTAATCTATTTTTACATGATTTCCAAAACCAAAGAAGAATCAGGTGAGCGACACAGGCTCTTGAGAGCCTCTAGTTTATTTAAGATTAGACATAATATTCAGGCAATAACATTGACTACAGGATGTGTGATGATCATAATATACAAAACCCGGTCTTTTTAATTGGTACATTTTTGTACCTGCTAGCCATCGGGTCTCCTAATTTTCCCTAAGTTCTGTGTTTGAATAAATTTAGTGCCGAGTTAACGAGCTACAACACTTTCTAATAATGTAAGATGTAGTAGAGAATTTATAAGAAGTCGTGGATTCGTAGGCGATAGTCAACGACTACTTCTGTTAAACTTTCTCTTACTTAAATAAAATTGAGAATGGAAATGGGGAATGTGTCAAAGAGACAACAACCCGACCATAGAGCAGACAACAGCCGAAGGCCTACAATGGGTCTTCAGTGCATCGAGAAACATATTTAACATATTACATGTAAAAGATCGTATATATAATTGATTTAACATATTCAATGTAAAAGATCGTATATATAATTGATTGTAGGTCCTGTCAAAGAGGCCGTCCGGGATGAAGTTTTGGAAAATTTACTGCCACTGGAAAATGAGGGTAAATTGGATAGGAACAGAAATTTTGCCTTGCAACAGGCAACATACGGACCCTTCAAAGAGTCTATATAAAGTTCTCCGGGTGCGGGATTTTCTCGCTGTGTTGAAAACCCATTGGTGGCCTTGGGCTGTTTCCTGCTCTTTGGTCGGGTTGTTTTCTCTTTGACACATTCCCCGTTTCCATTCTCAATTTTATTCTGTACATAAATCAAAGGAATTGTCTTAAGATAATTTCATTGATTGTCTTTTTATTCCTTTATTCTCGAAAAATTGTTTCGCTACATATAAATCCCTTATTTAGGTATCCGCCAAGTTAAAGATAGTTAAAAATAACTAAAAATTTGATACATATTTATTCTACTATTGTTCAGAATGCATGTTCAATCCTTATCTGTAAGACATATTTTATTAACTATTTCGGCAAGTATTAGCTATAATAGAAAGCTAAATAATACATTTGAAAGTGAATAATTCCGTGTGCCTTATCTATTTGTGTGTGTATAAATACACTAAAAGACATATTCTAACTCACTTACTACTGTTTTTAATAAATATGATATATATAGTAATTCAAATCGAATACCAATAATGAATAAGTTTGAGATTTTTTAAGCTAAGGTATATTGTTTAATCGCAGATAATATAATGTATCTTACTTTCACCACATATGCGGACCTTTATGTAAGTAAGTGTGCGATTGTAGCTGTTATGCAATATTTGATTAAATATATACTTTCCTTTCAATATTGACATGATGTTTATTTTTAAAACTTTTAAACAAGAAAAGTAAATGTTCTGATAAGATGAATTACAAAACTAATCATGCTAAAATCATAAGTAAAAATTTGCTTTGATGAAGAAGAAGATTGAAAGTCTTTGAACGTAACAAGTGCATATAACTAGTGTGATAACCATCATATGAGGGTTCAGTTCAACAAACTGTGTGTGTGTGTGATACAAAATTGAAAATCGACCAATATTCAAATTTGACATCCGGTATAAACTTTTTTGTTATGTTTTTAAAGGTTTTGTTATATTGCTTTAACTTTTTCCGTTTAATCGTTATTACTATGTTCTGAATTAGAACGATAGAATGTCGAACGTTAACTTCCTTAAATTTACACAAAATGCCCCAAATAAAATAAATCAAAACACAAATTAAACGGCAACCAGATGAAAAAAGACATAATATATATTCTATGATCGAAGAAGCCCAATGAGATAGCAATACAGTTTTTTGTCGTGTACAGACAAGAATTTATCAATAAAGGGCTTTAATTTATCAAATGTTGTATGTCAGCAGTCGAAGTCGAATAATAAAGATAACAAAAATGCACAGATTGAAGATAAAGATGATTATTAAAGCCAATGCGCACAAGTTCGAATCCTTAATGTGATATATATCTTTGAGGGGTAAAAAGTTAGTCAGTTTAAATTGAAAAGCTAGACAAATAAGTTAACTTAAGTTTATACAGTTGATTCCTAAACAAATCTAAAGTTAGAAAATGGGTTAATCGCTATATATCCTATTCGTTTTGCATATAAATCAGACCTTTAATTTTATCGTATGAATTAGTTAACATTTTTGATTTCAGGACTTGTAATAGCTTGCTATGCGGTATGGGTTTGCTTATTGTTAAAGGCCACGTACTGTGACTTATATTTGCTAATCATTAATGTCATTTGGTCTCTGGTGGAGAGTTGTCCCATTGTAAATCATACCTCATATTCTTATTTTTATATTGACTGTTATTTGTTATCATCATTGTTATTTCTATAATCATTGATAGTGGTTGTTTTTGCCATATGCACTTTATATATAATTTCTATTGTGGTTAATAAGTGTTCTCAATAAGATCTTTATATGATACTTTGCAAGGTTTCACATCAACAACAACTCACTTCCCATCTGTTTTAAGTAATAAATTTAGTTCAAGAGGAGGTATCAATATAGCTATTTAGTTTAGCTCACCACGATGTTCAACCTCGCATCATTCTTCGTTTGCCTGTCCCGCCAAGAAAAGAGTCTGCGGTGGTTGTCGTTGGTTACTGTGGCCCATATTTCTTTGTTTAGTAGGCTGTTAGTCCCCAAAGATATTTTCAAATAAGTATACACAGTGCTTCGGTACTGACATGATTCATAACATACCTTTCTTAAATTGTCGGTTTATAAATTTATAAATTATTAAGAATCTGAAGTTCCAACTCCCTCGAGCAACCTTAGATAAATTTGACTATTATTTTCAGGTTCTTTTGTTTTGGTCATAATGACCTTCGTGTGTTTTGTAAATTATGCTTCTTGGCTTTGAGCTTTCCCGATGATGAAAAATCCAGAAAATAGCTTTGGACGCATACAATTTATTAAGTGTCATTTTTATTTTTTACAGCACTAAGTCGATACCTCTCCACGAGAACTATAAGCTCAGTTGTCAGAAGTTCGGTAATGCAATGATTAATAACACACCCTTTTTTAATTTTTTTACATGTTTCGGTACTTTAACATCCTTGGCTTTCAAATATTTGGCTTTAGGCGTTCCCGATGAAGCTATGAAAAATCCAGAAAATCATTTCAGATGCATACAATTTATAAAGAGCTATTTTTCTTTTTTTTTATTATTTTAAATCAAATCGGGCCTTTTCTATTTTGAACTGATCAACATTTTGAAATCAAGGTGTCTTTTAAAGCTAACTGTACGATATAAAAAACCTTTAAAATTTAAGCATGTTAAGATACCAGGCTTATAATTTTGTACACCAGACGAGCATTTCCTCTACAAAAGACTCATCAGTGACGCACGATTAAAAAAAGGTTAAAGGTTGCATTTCTTCAAATATTGACAATGCAATTTCTCATAGGAACTCCTTTTACTGCTAAAACTGTACCACTTTTACTATGAAGTTTTGAAAAAAATCATATCCTAGAATGGAAAGTTCATATGCACTACAATTTTTTTCAAAGGTCAAAATATAGTGCTGTGCGGCATATTTTTAACGTTTATATGCCCCGAACTTCTAAGAGTTTAAACTAACACTTAATTTTTTAACTATCCCTACCTTGACTGTAGGATTACCACAGATTTCTATATAGACAATATGCATATGTTTATTTACTGGTAACATTCCTAAGTTATGTCTCTATGAGATGAAACCTAGAGATCATAACTGGGAACTAGTATGTAAACAAAATTAATTATCTATGAATATTCTATATCTCTCCAAAAGAGGCGTGGTTTGAGAAACAGCTGTATTTACAAAGTGCAACCTAAAGGCCAAATAAAATATAAAGAAGAAGAGCAATGAGGACCAAAACGTCCGAAAGGATTTGCAAAATACAGTTAAGATTATCTATTCCTTTGGTAAAAATCCTTAGTATTTCGAACAATTTAAAGTTTTATAAACAGTTAATTTATAAAAATAACAATATCAATGATAATTCATGTCAATACAGAAGTGCTGACTACTGGGCTGGTGATACCGTAGTAGAGCAAAACTCCATCAGCAGTGGCATCGACCTAGCGGTTGGGGAAAAACTCATCAAAGATACCAGGCTTATATTTTGTACGCCAGACACGAGTTTTGTCTATTGTTGAAAGCCAAATGTTGACCTGTAGTTGTTTACCTCGTTAATTTGTCATTTGGTCTTTAGTGGATAGTTGTTTCATGGTAAACATATCGCATTTCTTATTTTCATAATAAATATATGTTCTGAAAATCACACAAAATAACAAAAAACGGAAAAGTCCTGGGAACATTTCCAAATATTGCATGAAGTATCATTCTAATTACCAAAACTTCTAAATTGAAATAATAACGGGATACTATCTGGTTGTATAAATGATAGTTATTGTACTGCTTAGAGAATGCCAACACTTAAAGGGAAGTAGTATTTTAATGCAAATACTCACTAAATGATTCTACATATGGAGATAAACATACCAGTACCGTGTAAATGTACAAACTTAGCGAAAAGGTAGACATGTTTTGAAAAAGAGATTCACCTGAAAATAAAATATATAATGTTAACGCATTTCAATAACTTATACCGTAAAATTTATTTCAGCTTGCAAATTCAGTTTAAAGAGATATCTAGCAGTCTTTTTTCTGTAGTTTCTAATTGTACTTCAGCGAAACAGTCACTTTAAAACGTCTAACATAAACATTACAACTCGTTTTAGTGTTGGAGGAATTATTTTAGCTTACTTTTAAGAATACATCCAATAATTACATTTATATGACTTAATTTACATTAGAATTTTTTTAAACAGAGTTTTAACACGAATAAATTCAAAAAAGCCTTATAATTAAAAAAAAACTTTTATGATTTGTAAAAATAACCAGCTGATTCAATGCGATTAGAGTCGATAAAATGGAATTCTGCCTGACAGAATTGGTCGTATTACTGTATATTATCCTTTATATAATACAACTTATTTGAATTCTAAATTTTATGCGCAAGAAGTCTGATATTAAAATTTCAAAGGAGGTTATCTTGGTCAAATGTTTATGATTTTACTTTCATTCAGCGACAATTGGAAGGTTGTTGTGTACCTAAATTATATCTTACTCTATAAAGAATAAATTAAGACACAGCCGATAATGCGATTACTCTATGAAGAATAAATTAAGACACAGCCGATAATGCGATATATTTATGGCAACCAAAGAAACTCTTACAAAAAAATTGAAAGGGTTTGTACAGCAATAAGAATTCAAGATGTGAAACTGAATTGGCTACTAAGCTTCAATGTTATTGTGAAACTAGAAGCGGCGTGAATCAGATGTGGATACAAAAAAGTTCAAAGATATATGTTGTCAGATCATTAAAGATGTTTTTTTTTAAATTAATATTGATTTACTCATTGGGTCTTTGCATCGGAAATAATCACATTTATTCTAAAATCAGTTGCTGGCATTATACGGGTTCTGTTCTTCTCATATTTCTTATTATGGTATTATACTATACCCTTAACAGGAGGGATTGTGCTTGATTTTCATTTGATGGACATAATCTTTCGATCAGTTTAATTGAGGTCTGGAGCTGACATGTCAGTAACTGCTAGTAGTCCTTTGTTAATTTATGTTGATAATTGTCATTTTGCTTAGTTTCTTCTGTTACCTATTTTATCATCGGACTCGGACTTCTTTTAAACTGAGTTTTACTGTGCGTATTGCTGTGTGTTTGTTTATACCACATTGAATAGAGGTAAGGGGAGGGTTGAGATCTCACAAAACATGTTCAACCCCGCCTCATTTTTGCGCTTGTCCAAAGTCAGGAACCCCTGGCCTTTGTTTATGTTGTTTGTCTAGTATGTTTTTAAATTTTGGTGCATTTGTATGTTCCGGCATTGTCAGTTTTTTCTCAACTAATGAGTTTGAAAGTCTCTTTCGTATCTTTCGCCTCTCTTCTTCCACGCACATGAGGATTTCAAAATGTTCATATCAAATTTGCTACCACATATGAAATTTGGATTGTTGATAATCTATTATTGAAGATTTAAATGGATTGTTACTACATTATAATATCTGTAATGCTTTAAACAAAAAAGAAATTAGTTTGGTACCCAATAAACTTCCTCCCAACGTTTCGTTTGCTTAATAACATTAACGGCACCAATTGTACTGCACCAGATGCACATTTCGACAATTACAACCAAGCTATGTTAATAATTAATTATGTTTATTTTATGTGCATGGCACGTTGTGTACTAAGTTATTAAATGGCATAGCAAATACTTTAACTTTTCAAACATTTCATCCCCCTAACAAATTCAGCTTTGCGTAGCCATTACTTATAAAAATCAACGGTGTTCTTTCGGTAAACTTATCTTAATTAAGGGGAAATGTCGTTAAAGATATGGCGGTATATAATTATCACGGGTACAAATTGAAGATTAATTTTGATACTCAGACACATCAAAATATACACACCTCTGTGTAAAAGAGCATTAATATTTACCTGAATATGTTTATTTCTTTTCCAAATGAAAACTACACACGGATGTAGTTGTCATCCCACTGTTACAAAAATAGATAACGACTGAATCAAAAAACACGACATTTAAATCGTTCTTAAATGATCAAGGATGCACTTGTTAACTTATAAAATTTAGTGATTTGAAATCGTCATCATAACAAGATACGGCGTTTTGTGCGATTCGTCATTTACAGTAAAGAGTTGTTTTTACCCGTTTGAAGCCATTGCTATACCCCTTTTATAATGAGTCGTATTTGTTGCTGAAGGGAAATTTATCGCTTGAATTTAAACGCTTTACAAAGTTGAAATGCATGTTTTAATTCGTTTCTCATTCGAATATAAAGTATTTAAACCTAAAACTACAACACTTATGCTAACATAAATAAAAGTAAAAGCACCATATTAGGAATTAAGGTACCATATTAACAAGTGTGCAGCTTACTTTATTCAGTTCATTTACAAGATAATGTACGTTAATAAAGAAAATGCCCGTCAAATATCTGCACTGGCAGCTGCAACGTTGAAACATAATCTACAAAGACAAAACAGAAACAGTCAGTTTCAAATAATTGTAAACAAATGTATTATCTGGTCATTGATACGAGTGGGATGGAGTTAGCTGCATTGTGAAAATAAATCAACATTTCATAGGAATGTAGCAAAGAACACCGACAAGAATATAGAACTATATAGATCAACAACAATCTAACTTCTTAATGTCTTTACTGGTACCGAGAACCACATTTCACAGTTTGGCATGGATGTAACTTTTGAAATCCTTCCATTTTTGCACATAAAATCTTGAAGCTCTGTAGTTTATTGATTGTAACTTTGAGTGCAAAAACGTATAGTTTCTAAGTTACTGAACCATGTATTCAAATTTGACTGACTATACGCAAAAATAGTATGCAACCAATTGGACAGAGTGGCACCCTTTTTAGAAGCATTTTAATATTCTATAAAACAAAGACATCGTTCTAAATGGTTGCAAACCGATCTCATTTAAATATGAATAAATTTAATCCATTCTACATGCCACCCGTATTGAACATCGTGACTAATCTATGTAACACCATATCCCTAGCGGCAGACTACAAACCCTCATAATTTGTGTTCCTCAATATTAATATATACAACTTTTTTTTGTTAATGTGAAAAAAAATCGTTTTCTCTATACCTGTAGTTTGTTTTGGACCATGCACAAGATAATGTCTGTGTGTATTGTTCATGGTGTGGTTGTACGTAATCTTCTATGTGTAAGATGGTTTTATTTCTTATCAGCAAGTTATTTAAAAGTACTTTAAGCTTGTTTTCAGTAACAGCTATCTTTCTTAAATATGGTATACTTTGTTATTTATTCATTGTCTTTTATACTGGTAATCAAATTGAGCGAACCTATACTATTGCTTGTAACTTTCATTTAAAAAGCGAACGGTAAGTTACTGTGCGATGATGCATGGCTACCAAACACCTGGGACATAATATAGTATTCCCAGGTAATAAATTATTAGAAATATTTGAACATTCGACAAATACATAGAATTTCATACAGCAACGTGAAGACACGATCTTATTCAATGACCAGAACACATTACCGAATCAAACAGACAACGAAAGAAAACTAGTATAACTAGTAAAATTGATATTCATTCAAACTAATTCTGGCTGCAAGGTTCCGATGCCTCGTGTACAGAGTACGTTAAGAATCATTGCAACAACTTTTTGAGGGGTCTGTAGGTGGGCTTTTGCAAAGCAAACTTTCCTTCCCTATCCAACATGCCCTCGTTTTCCAGTGGCAGTTCGAATTTATCCCATGGTCTCTACTACAGGACATACCTATTGTACTAGTATCTATTGTTTATTTGTTCTCGTCCTGTATATAAATGAAATATTTACCATTGGACGTTAAGCAACAAACAATCAATCAATCAACAAATATCACATGAACCCTGCTAGACCAACATGTATGCATTACAATAATTCCATACTCTAAAAACAGTTGACCTATTGTTTATAGTATCTAAGAAACAGACTTATACAAAAAAAAACCTCAACATTTGAGGTCAAAGTCTGGTGAATCATGCAAGGCAGATATGTACACATTACAATCAATCAATAAACTAAATCAAGTTGACCCAATGCTGAAAGCATCCGAAAAAAGGACCAAAACTAAAAATTAACCAATGAACCATGAAAATGAGGTCAAGGTTAGATGAGACTACCAAACAACAGACATGTATACCTTACCTCTATTCCATGCACCAAATATAAGTAACTTATTTTTTTCTAGTATCTGAGAAAAGGACCACAACACAAAACAAAACTTAATGAACAAAGAACCATGAAAATGAGATCAAGGTCAAATGAGACTTGTCAGTTTTTTCAAGCAGCCAATGAAATATGAAAATGAGGCCAAGGACAATGGTTAATGACAGACGAAAACTTTGTAACATAAGGCATTAATACAAGTTAGGAAGCATCAAGGTCTTCTACCTTCTGAAACATGAAACTTTGTATAAATAGTTAACACTGCCATCGACGCCTCTACTTCCGGAATGTCTAGCATATTGCGACTTTGTCAAAGACAAGACTATAAAAAATTATTAGATTCAATGCCCCATAGTGTGATTGTCGAGTATGGTTCAAAATATAAAAGTTAAGGTTGACCTTAATATTGTATACTGTTCTATTTTAAATGTTTTCTGTAAAGATGTATAGTCTTTAAAAATTTACAAAAGACCTTCTGTTGAAGAATAATTGAGAAAAAGGTCAGACTTTAAGAACCTCAACAAAAACAATGGGAACATGTTTCAGTGGACGATACATATGTCTCTTTTTCTTTTATATCATATACATTGTGCATAGAATAACTTGTGTAAAGTTAAGACACTAACATTCTACTATTTGAAAGGTATTGGCATATCAAAAAAGAATTCATACTATAAATGGGTGAGGATCTTAGCTATTTTTTAATATATTTAACACTTTCTTACATAAAGAGATAGGACAAGACAACCTCCTTATCTCCATGTAAAAAATCTAGGATGTAGTCGAAAGGTCTTGTCATGAAATTTTGAAATAAAAATGATCGAAGGGTAAAATTCGAACAGTTGTGGAGGTATTGATGCCATTTGATATGAGGGAGGATTCATGACACGATGAACAAAACCATTGTGCCAAGGAGAATATGGTAATTCAAAATATATATGCTGCGGGGGTCTGTACTTTTTGAAACAGCCAACGATTTATGATGTGAAGGGGCGGTGCATGAAACGTAGGACAACCCATATGGTGATCTGTAAAGATCTTGTCATGACAACTTTTCAGGGTTAATGGTTGAAAATAATGAACAATTTTCAAGATATAGAATAATTTATGATATGAAGTTGGTGTAGCATGTTCCTAAGGGAAAAGGCATATGGTGAACTAGAAAGAACTTATCAAGGCAAGTCCGAGTATATTTGTTAGAGGGTACTGATCTAAACCATATGTGATTTATTCAATGATATTTTGTATGACGTGTTGGGGCATGACCCTCAGGTGTATTGAAAAGGTCTTGACATGGCAAACAAGCATATTATACATGTTTTTGAGGTGGACAAATAAATTAGATATAGGAATATGTGGTATGAGTGCCAATGAGACAACTCTCCATCCAAGTTACAATTAATAAAAGTAAACCATTATAGGTCAAGGTACGGCCTTCAACACGGATCGAGCATGGGCTCACACCGAACAGCAAGTTATAAAGGGCCCCAAAAAATTACTTGTGTAAAACCATTCAAACGGAAAAAACCAACAGTCTAATCTATATAAAAACGAGAAACGAGAAACATGTATGAACTACATAAACAGACGACAACTACTGTAATCAGATTCCTGACTTAGGACAGGTGCAAACATTTGCAGCGTATTGTTCCTGTATTGTTCATCTGGTTTTCTTCTGCATACAATTGAAACGATGGGAATCTATTTATAGCTGTTTTTTGTTGTTCACTTTCACTACCTACAGCTTCTATCTACTATACAGTAAACATTACCATTGAAGAACAATTACTTCTATAAGGTGTCATTGGATGATTTCAACCATCAAGGGTCACCTTAAATTGTTTTTTTTTAGCACAAATTAATCAATTTTATTGCACCTTTGCTGTTAACAATTTTAAATTGTATGTGACACATTGACATGAGGTGCTGCAACAATTTGTCAAATATCAAAACCTATGTCTTAAATTCAAACACTTTGATGGCAAAATCTTGACAATGCGAGTAGATAAGTAAATTAGAATTAAAAGAAAAAGAATGCTGTGTCTTCCTTGGTCCAATAGGAGACATAAATATATTTTTCATTATTATAGAATAATCTAAAACTTAACATTTTGGTCATTATTCAAAGACAATTATAGAAAAAAAAACCTTATTAATGGCCATTGTTATATTATAGTTCGTTTCTGTGTGTGTTACATTTTAATGTTGTGTTTCTGTTGTGTCGTTGTTCTCCTCTTATATTTGATGTGTTTCCCTCAGTTTTAGTTTGTAACCCAGATTTGTTTTTTTCTCAATCGATTTATGAATTTCGAACAGCAGTATACTACTGTCTCCTTTACTTGTTACTGTTGATTGATAAATTTGTAGACTAACACTAGACAGACATCCATTTACTGTTGCAGCTTTCAAACAACATATCTGGCTTTCCAAACTATGAGTCCCAAGCTGACGAATGTTATTACATGTATACTGAATTATGTATCACATTTTAATTATAATATAATTTCAAATGTACAAACTACTTTATAAACGTAACATACAAAGATTCTTATATGTACATATACAAATTTCTTTGCAATTTACATTATCCAAACATAATATATCTATGGTTTATTTTTAATATCAAAAGAAAAAGTAACGTTCAAAGTCTCCCTTCTGACTACATCCCAACCCAAATAGTAAGTCTAATAACTGTCTCCTATCATCTGCTACCATAATATTATATGATCTCGTGTACTGTATAAATGATTTAAAGTTGTCAGTGTTTTTATTCAATAGCCAAGCTTCATAGTGTTCCAAATCTGCCTCAAGTAACATAAAAATTACCTGAAAATAAATATATTGTTAAATATACAATTAGAGACGGTCGTATTTGCCGGACAAATGTCAGTTTTCATATTCGACGAAAAAAACACTGCATTTAATGACAAATAATTAACAAAACAAATTGTTAATCAATCATTTTACCATATGTAAAAGTATGTGACGTTTAGCATAGTGAATATCACTTTTCTTCAGGAGCATATGCTGTTTTATTCAAAACCCAATTTATATCGAAACTTACTAAAACAATAACAATATAGAATAATAAAAAAATATTCACATACTTTGATGATGTGTGTATAAATTTCTTAACTTATCATACATTCATTTTTTTACCAAAGAAATAAAAATGTAGCCATGACTTATTATTAGGGGTAAAAAATAAGCTGACTGAAATATCAATGTGCACATTAATATTGAAAGCATTATATCTATCATAGCGATTTAAATAGATGAAGAGTATTGATTGTTAATTAAGGTATATCTTGACTTTTTTCCATTTTTATCATATATATGTTCTATCTAATTTTTATTTTAATTTATTCTGTTTAAAATTTTATTTTGGATGTAGCATATCTTCTGATTGGCTGAAAGTCTTTTGTCTATCAGCTCATAGACATAATTTTGTCATGTGCCCATGACATCGTTGATGTTTTTTTCATGATTTACTCCACAAAAATGGATTCAGAATTAAATTATAAAGGACGATCATCATGACTGTAATATTTGTTTTATCGAAAAACCTAAAAAAATGATGTGTACACTTTTAAACAACCCACGTATATATTCAGTGTGCACCACCTTTTTTATGTTATTTCTTCTAAGACAGAAAATAAATGGGGAATGTGGATGCCCCCACTTGCATACAATGTTATAAAGGGACATAACTCAAGAGCAGTAAAAATGATGCTACCCAAATACATACTTGATCTGAGTTTTGTGGTAATAAGCATTGTGAATAAGTTTCATAACATTTGGTTGATGCAAACTTAAGTTAGAGAACAGAAACGTAAAAATCAGCAATTTTTATACGACCGCAAATATATTGGTATGACGTTGGCGTCGTCGTCCGAAGACACACTGGTTTTCGCACAATAACTTTAGTTTAAGTGAATGGATCTCTATGAAATTTAAACACAAGGTTTATAACCACAAAAGGAAGGTTGGGTTGATTTTGGGGGTTATGGTCCCAACAGTTTAGGAATTAGGGGCCAAAAAGGGGCCCAAATAATCATTTTTCTAGTTTCATGACAATAACTTGTGGAACAGTGTATGGATCTCTCTGAAATTACACACAAGTTTTCATACCACAAAGGGATGGTTATGATTGGCTTTGGGGGTTATGGCTCAAACCGTTTACGAATTAGGGGCAAAAAAGTGAGAAAAAACAATGGTATCCTGGTTGATGGACAATTCGCAACAGCATAGTGTATTGCACAAAAGCAAAATATTGAATATAAATTCAAATCATATGACTAATTCTAAGTTCTTTGACTACAGTTATTCTGTGTCAAATATTGAATTTGAATTACAATCCGAATTCAGACCTGTATCAAGCGCGAATATTGTGTCCATTTTTGCCCGAACTGTTCAGAGTTGGACCTCTGCGGTCGTATCCAGCTGAGCTCGGAGAAGCAATTTATTCCATTTTTAAAGGGCATAACTCTAGAATGGTAAAAGTGACGTCACCAAAATTCAATCTTGATCTGTGTTTTTTGGTAAAAAGCATTGTGTATAAGTTTCATAGCATTTGGTTGAGGCAAACTTAAGTTAGAGAACAGAAATGTAAAATATAGCAATTTTTCCATTTGTAAAGGGGCCTAACTCTAGAATGGTAAAAGTGACGCCACCAAAATTCAAATTTGATCTGTGTTTTGTGGTAATAAGCATTGTGTATAAGTTTCATGACATTTGATTGAGGCAAACTAAAGTTAGAGAACGGAAACCAATTTCGGGACGTACGAACAGATGTACAGACGGACAAGGGTAAAACTATGGCGGGGGCATAAAATATTACATTTATTCCTGAAGTGAATAAAACTCCTGTAAAAAAATCAACTTCAATGATCATAACTGGTATTTTGTCTTCATTTAAATACAAGCCACTATGGAATTTGGAAATATTGAAACTAATAATTGCTGACACACATAGACAGGCATTTTTTTCACCTACAAAATAACCACCCTAGCAATATATAACTTAAAATTAAAGACAAAATTTGCAGAATTGGTCCCTTTAGAATCATCTGATTGCAAGTAAATGCATATAGGTTATAAAACTTCATGATCTTTGTCTGAATCATTCATTGTTTTTGTGTTAAGCTAATTGTGTTGACATATTTTAGTAGTTAATCCAAATCTTTGGAAATAAAGAAAAACAAAACATGTTATACATTTTATGCATCCCAAGAGCATTTCTGGATATACCTTCAGCAGGAACAAAATCAACTTTTAACTTTGTATTGATCAACTCTATTACATGCAACAATTACAATGTGAAAATTGAATAGGTATTTCACTACCCTCTCCTGAAGAAGTATTACGATAAATGGGACTTGGTAACTATCCCTAAACTTTTCACCCCTATAGTTTCAAATTGGACATTTGAGATCTAATGCACTGATCCATATTTTTACTTATATATAATGAATCATACAGTTGTCTGGAATTGTCGTAGCTGGTTGTGATCGCTCATTAAGTAAAATTTTAGTTTTTCCACTCAATAATTGTTTCCCTTAATAATATGCTACAGTTTGTATTTATGTGTGTATGAATTTGGTCATTGCATCTATTGCATTAATCATTAAAGGAAAAAAAGTTGATTTGTGCATTGAATTTACTATCAGGGGCGTAGCTAGGTAACCAATAAACTGTAGGCACAAACTGCGGCTTAAGGCCCCCAGCAGGTCCAGGGCAGAGCCCTTGTAGGGGTTCAGGGGGCAATGCCCCCCAATGGAAAACGGTTTTCAGCATTTTAGTTGCAAAATTTTGTGTACAAAAAACATAAAATTTACTGGTCATTTTATCATGATAATACACCCTGACTATCAAATTCAGCTATTTTCACATAGAAGTGAGAGTACAATCAGTCATTTGGCAAAAATTAAATCTTAGTCTGAAGAAAAAATCAAAATCATTTTTGTCAAGAGTAAAGTGCTTGTAGATAGAAAGAAAAAAAACCCAATAAAATGCTCCAATGGGCGCAGCTTGATACAACCGCAGAGGTCGACCTTGAACAGTTGGGGCAAGTATGGACACAACATTCAAGCTTGATACAGTTCTGAATTTGGATTGTGATTAAATAATTGACACAGCATAGGTTTCTGACACAGAATGAATGTGGTCTAAGAACTTAATATTTTTTAATTTACCTATTCAAACCATATCATTATTATTTGCTTTTATATATAAATCAGAAATAACCAACTTAAAATGGAAAATTTTAAAGAAAAAAAAAAGGAAAAAAAAATCCCCCCCCAAATTTTTTGAATCCTCTTCTGATTCATCACCCAAAACTCAATCCCAGTCTTCCCTTTGTGGTATGGTACCATGCAGTACAATTTCAGAGAGATCCATACACTTGAACACAAGTTATTGTCTGGAAACTAGAAAAATGCTTGTTTTTTGGTCCCTTTTTAGCCCCAAATTCCTTAACGTTTAGGGCAATTACCCCCAAACTCAAACCCAGCTTTGCCTTTGTGATATGGAACCTTGTAGTACAATTTCAGAAAGATCCATACACTTACACACAAGTTATTGTCATGAAACTAGAAAAATGCTTGTTTTTTGCCCCTTTTTGGCACCTAATTCCTAAAATTTTGAGGCAATTACCCCCAAATCAATCTCAGCCTTCCCCTTGTGGTATGGTACCTTGCAGTACAATTTCAGAGAGATCCATACACTTGAACACAAGTTATTGCCTGGAAACTAGAAAAATGCTTATTTTTGGCTCCTTATTCCTAAACGTTTTGGGCAATTACCCCCAAACTCAATTCCAGCTTTCCCTTTGTGATATGGAACCTTGTAGTACAATTTCAGAAAGATCCATACACTTACACACAAGTTATTGTCATGAAACTAGAAAAATGCTTGTTTTTTGCCCCTTTTTGGCACCTAATTCCTAAAATTTTGAGGCAATTACCCCCAAATCAATCTCAGCCTTCCCCTTGTGGTATGGTACCTTGCAGTACAATTTCAGAGAGATCCATACACTTGAACACAAGTTATTGCCTGGAAACTAGAAAAATGCTTATTTTTGGCTCCTTATTCCTAAACGTTTTGGGCAATTACCCCCACACTCAATTCCAGCTTTCCCTTTGTGATATGGAACCTTGTAGTACAATTTCAGAAAGATCCACACACTTACACACAAGTTATTTTCATGAAACTAGAAAAATGCTTGCTTTTTGCCCCTTTTTTGGCCCCTACTTCCTAAAATTTTAAGGCAATTACCCCCAAATCAATCCCAGCATTCTCTTTGTGATATGGAACCTTGTGGTACAATGTCAGAGAGATCCATACACTAACACACAAGTTATTGTCTGGAAGTTACAAAAATGCTTATTTTTGGCCCCTTTTCGGCCCCTTATTCCTTAACTGTTGGTACCATAACCCCCAAAATCAATCCCTACTTTTCTTTTGTGGTATTGAACCTTATGGTAAAATTTCATAGAGATCCATTCACTTAAACTTAAGTTATTGTGCGAAAACCAATGTGTCTTCGGACAATGACGACGATGACGACAACGCCAACATCATACAAATATACAACAGCAAAAACTTTTAATACATTGTGACTTGCATTGAGAGATGTCTCATTGGCACTCATATCACATCTTCTTATTCATATAGATTTACATAACATATGTAATGAACATGGAATCTTAAAGTTACCTCAGTCCTCAAACAAACAACTGCAAGAGTACTTGGAGCAAATGTTGAGTTCCAAATGTCAGACATGAGCTGGACCCCTATCTGTTCTAGTATACATTTGTCCAAATATCCATCTATCCAAGGAGTAGCTGAATCCTTGTCACCATCTGTCTGACTTAAACCATTGTTTTTAACCTTAAAAAAACATGTAAAAGTTCAGGAAATAATTACATGTCAGGTTAAGACATCTATAGTAATAAGAATGTACACCTACTGTACATAAATGGGGCATTCCAAGGAGTTTTAATTAGGTAATTACAAAGTTTATTGATGTATATTTTATATAGATGTTTTCTGCTTTGTATCAATTTAATGAGTTAAGATCTTTTCAACTGAGTTTGTTCTTATGCTGTTACACCACTATCCTAGGTTAGGGGGAGGGTTTGGCGCCAGCAAACTAGTTTAACCCAACAACATTCTATATATGCCTGTCCCAAGCCAGGCGCCTGTAGTTCAATGGTTGTCGCTGCATGGTGCATGTCGGTCATATTTGTTATTAGTTAATTGTTTTGTTATTAATTAGGCTGTTAGTTTTCTCAGTTGAATTGTTGCATATTTTTCATGACAGGGCCTTTTATAGCAGACTATACAGTTGAAGGACATATGGTTGCCTATCATTGCTTACATCCACTTCATTTGAACTCTGGCGGATTTGTCTCATTGGCAATCATACCGTATTTCCTTATTTTTATATATATATGTACATGTTTCCATTTGTCCTTCCTTGAAAACTGTTTAATAATCTCAGGGTTGGTTTGCTGTCTCAGTGACATTTACCCAACATCTCTTCATATTCATATTTATATATAAAATTAAACATTGTACAAACCTCTACCAACAACATTAATAAATGAGGTGATCCAGCTTTAGTTTCATGTTGATAAAATCTTACATCAGACACATAACCAACAGTTTTATTTCTTATTTTTAAATATTTTTTGCTAGCTTCCCCAACTCTGAAATAAAAAAGTCAAAATGTTATCTAATAAGAAGATATTTGCAAATGAGAAAGCCAAAACAATATAATATGTTAAATTGGAAAAATTGAGATCCTTAATGGAGATCTTGAGAAATCTTGCAAAGTGGACATTCATTGAATAGTAGAGTTAAATGAGTAAAATCAGATACATGTAGTGTAATATTGTAATATGTCAATGAAACATCAAATAAGGGAGCTACCATTTGATTTTTATGGGGGGGGGGGGGTGAAATTTGAAAAAAAAATCAGGATGAAATTTGAAAAAAAATAGACAGGACAGGAGTTTTGAGTAAAAAAAAAAGGCAGGATGAGATGATTTGCCAAAAATAAGGCAGAATGACAATTTATTTTATGTAAAAAAAAAGTCAAGATAAACTAAAAAAAAAAGGCAGGACCGAATAGAGAGAAAAATAAAAAGGCAGGACCTAATAGAGGGAAAAATAAAAAGGCAGGACAAAATTTTTCATCCTAGCCCCCCCATAAAAATCAAATGGTAGCTCCCTAAATGAAAAAAATAAGCAAAAACATCTGGAGGGTGACATACAGTCTAGAACAATGATCAGATGTCTATACAATATTTCAAGTAATTAATTGATTCTACATGTTCTAGTCTGTAACCTCTGGATGTTAAGCGAGCAACAATCAATCAATTTAGTCTCTAATATAAATTAAAGTCATGGCCAGAATGTTTCAGTATCGTTTATCAAAAAGATACTCATTTCAAGTTGAGTTGACATTGAGTTATGCAGTGGAAAGTGGCCATTATCTGTATTTTTTTCTTTCAGTTAAACAATCTGTTTTTCAATTTCCAATATATATGTGATCACAAAAAGACCTTTAAGAAAATCCCAAACATTAAGGCATAACTTTAAGTTTATTAAATATTCTTTGCAAACTGCATGAATACACCATTTAATTATTATATAATGGTCAAGGTATATATAATGCTGATTTGTTAAAAAATATATATATCATGTATATCATATGTATTTAATTTTTTTTCCAATTTGCACAATTACTTTTTTTGTGTACATGTACATTGTATCTAATAATTTTATTTTAACCATTCCATTTTCATGAAAATTACAAACTTTGTTTTAGGATCCAGCCACATAATTATGATTATCAATAAAATTCAATGTTTCCTAAAACAGTTTTTATGATAAAAAATTCAAAGAATTTCAAACTCCATTTTCAGTAGTCAATGACTTGTAAAAGATTTGAGTTGGCTACATTATTTTTTATGACAATGTGTTTTGGAACAGATTAAGGTAAAACTTAAAAACTACAAAAAGGCTTAGGGTAATTAAAACATTGTTCTCAAATACAGTACCTACTCTGGATTGAGAAAACATATCTGTGCAAACTTGAGGAATATTTGAGTGAACACACTTTCTTGTAATATTTCTTGATCAGAATATTTTCCAGGTGGAACTGGAAAAGGATTTATCAACTTTTCAAGGATTTCTTTCATACCAGAAACAAACAAAAATATTCTGTGATACCAATGTTCAAACAGTCTACAAAATAATATATGATTATAAACAATTAATGACAAACATGACAAAGGTCCGGTAAATGAAAAGCAAAAAATATAATAATGATTTATTATATATGTGTGTTTAGGCCTTTAGGGTTTCCTTTCTTGAATAGGATGTCAGTAGGTTGGATATATTCTTTGGGTCAGAACCAAGAAAATATTGTAATTGGTTTGTTTTTTCTCAAAAACTAGTAATTACGATGTGAAATTTGTTCTAGTTACTTCCCTTTGGCCGATCATTAGATATTCACTCCACATTTAAAAGTGAATTGTTTTTCTAGTCATTACGTTAGAATTCTTTAGAGTAATAAGATCGAAAAATTTTAAGTAATTTTACCTATCTAGAAATTTCAGTTCTGGTATTTTCCACCAAAACCAAAACAAAAAGTTATGAAAAAACCAACTCAGCCCTTCTATGAACAGACATCTATTTTTTTTGCTTAAATTAAAGATTTATAATAAATTGATAAAGGTAAGTCAAACTTTAAATTCACATAAAACAAATTATTTTGATTATTTTTGCAAATTCAGCAACATGTATTATATTAAACATGTGTAAATGATATCGCTACTGTCATGTAAAATATAACATTTAAAATCATTTACAAATATAATCATTTAAATAGTTCAAATCCTCTTTTAATACTTTGTTTGAGTTATCATTATAAGCGGTCCGAGATTGACTTTTTAGACGGTCTGAGTTGATTTAATAGTCTGTCCCAGTTGACTTGGTACAAGTTGTCCCATGTTCATCGATTTACCTGATGATAAGTAATGGAAGTACATGTACTATACAAAAAAATATAGACTTGTGGTTAAAGCATATTATTAATTTCCACTTGTTAATGTAAAATGTACATGTATTTTGTTTTATATCCATTATTTGCAATATTGTATAAGATAAGATATATTTTATTACCAATTAAAGGCCCACAAGGGGCATATAGAGAATACATGTATAAGGATAAAGAACATTGATTAGCATAGATACATAGAATTAAAATACACAGTTACAATACAATAAGACTGTAAAAACCCCCTTGGTTTATAGTATATAATATATTTATATGAGAAATAAATGCATCTAACTCATTATATATAGTCATATTAACTTGAATAAATTTTCCAACAGCATTAAGAACCTGATTGTCTTCACAGCTTATTAAATATATGAATTTTTGCTGATTGTCCAGTAAAGTAAAGTTTGGTATTTTCTGGCAAACAAAATTAAAGAGAGCATCTCTATCAGAGTTAAATTTTTCACATGAAGTTAAAAATAGATTTCATCTTCAATGCAGCCAGAGGAGCATTTTTTGCAAATTCTTTCATTTCATGCATATGGAATATTTGAAAAACGGCCAAATTCTATTTGAAGCTTATGAGCAGATATACATAATTTACAAATAGCTCTTCTAAAATCAAAGTTCTTAACCAAAGAGAGATAATTTTAATAGCTAAAATTTTGTTTAAATTTCAAATAATTGAACAATTTTCCATCAGAAGCATTTTTTTGGCTAACAAATCAATTGTTAATATATTTAGTGTGAATTAATTTTCAAAAATCTATATTGTCCAAAATCTTTTACTTCTTGTTTAATTTAAAAAACTTCTAATAATTTCTTAACAAATATGAGAACCAAGAAGTTACAATGTATGTTAGATCTGTGAAGCTCTTGGCTGCATTTACAAATGTATAAGCGTCTTTCAATTGACTGAATTCAGTCTGAAGATTTTCAAATCTATACCAGTATTTAACAATTGACCTTACAATGTCATAATGTACAATGTAGGGGAAAATGCCCCAGTTCTATGTCATTGTATGTCAAGTGTGTTGTCCATTTGGATTACACATTGTCATACATACATGTAATTTATCATGTGCTTTTGTCATTTCAGAGCTTGACTATGCGGTATGGGCTTTGCTCATTATTGATGGCCAAACAGTGACCTATAGTTGTTAATTTCTGTGTCATTTGGTCCCTTGTGGAGAGTTGTCTCATTGGCAATCATACCACATCTTCTTTTTTATATTTATCCAATAAACATTTAATTTATAAGGTTATCAAATCCAAATGACAGTTTAGCAGTTTTCGTACCTTGATCAACAAAAACTGAACGGACATGGTTGTTGAACAACATGAAATTTGAATGCAGTCTTAAAACTGGAATATTACCTATTACTTAATCTGTCAGTTAATATTAAAGTCGGATGATTGTCATTCTCTCTGCACCTCGTTTTTTCATAGATGACAGATAATGTTTTATTAATTGCACAGATAATCTTTAACGATTCTTGTTCTACTTCCTCTTCTTGTAACATTAATGCTAATGGTAGGGTTAATTTCTTACTCCAATTGACACAAGGTAATGAAAAACTAAGAAGGTCCCCTGTGAAAATTTTGAGTGAATCAATAGTGGTGGGAAAGTTTCCAGTACCTTTAGATCCCTTCTGTAAACTTTTAAGATTTTTAATCAAATTATCCATAGATATAGGTTTCTCAGAGAAGAAAACTCCAACATCGTTCAATTTTCGCTCTGTCAATTTCGGCCTTTTACTACTACTAGCATGACTAGTTTGAAGTCTTGTACAGTTAGAAAATATTTCAATGTCTGATTTGAAACTTGATTCTTCGTCGCTAATGGTTCGTTTATATGTTGCCTATATTAGCTGTCAATGCTTATGGTTAGTACTTTTAAAAGTACTGTACACAACACGACTTGAAACATCAACAGGGAATAAAATGAAAACATCCGGTTGTTACTCTAGCGCCATCTATTGGTTTTCAAATGAAAGTTCTCGGAACAAGTCGGTACAAAATTCCGGAAAATGAAAAACAACTATGTTAATGACCTACATATGATCACATATAGTAAATATGTCGTTCAGACAAGGATTTGTATAGGTTCTTACTATACATGTCTTTTCAAGTTAAACAAAAAAACAATAATAATGATTCTCTAACACAAGAATATGTATAATAAACCAGATATAAACTGATCCAACAGTTGATAATTTTGTGTAGAGGTATAGAAAACAGATATATAAGTTTTAAGGATATAATTAGAGTTACAGTGAATCTACAGTAAATAATGTATTACAGTGGCGGATTTACCGGGGGGGCATAGGGGGCACGTGCCCCCCCAGTCGGGGTCACTAAAATAATTTTCTAACATAGTTTTATTGTTACTGTATCTGCTTATCTAGATCGAAATTGGTCGTTAATTAACCCCAGCTTCAACATGCGTGATTTATGACAACTTATCAAAGGGTGTGTAAATATTGACACCTTTGTGTAATGTCTATATCCAAAAGCATTTATGTAAATTACATGTACATGCACATGCTGATTGGAATTAATATTTTTAATATTTTAATATATTTATTGGTTTTTAATAAATATTACAGGATCAAGATCGATTAACAAGTGAAATCTTCAGATCAGGAAAGAAATCACCAACTAAAATCGTTCTTAAAAGAACATGTAAAAATAGATGTTAAGTGTCAAGAATGTTAGTATCAATATGAGATACGTCTTTATTACCAAGCACTCACATTGTATACGGTTTCTGGGGAATGTGTCTTTCTCAGAACAGTCTTTTTCGGACTTTATTAAACAACAAACGATTTTTTTCAATGCATACAGCACTTTTTTAAACTGAATGTCGTGTTTCTTTTCCCCTTACTTTTTTTTATGGAAACCAACGATTTGTCTTTAAAAAACCTTTCCCCGCCACAAAACATGAAAGGTCTGTGCCTTATATATAATCATTAATAACATGATATTGTTTTTTTAGAAAACCTACTTATAGTACAGTAATATGTGTATATTTTTTCTTGTTTCAATTACCATGTATGATGGTATGAATAGGTTACCGTGAATGAGGGTATGAATGGTTTACCGTGAACGAAGGTATGAACGGGATTTACAGATTAGAGAATAATGGTCAAAAAGTAAAGACTAGAAAAAAATGGGTCCAAAAAATGTAGAAAACAGATTAAATGTGTGATGAACAATCTGATGAGTTGAGTCTTTTTTAACTGATTTTTATAGTTTGTTCTTATGTTATACTGTTGCACCACTGTCCCAGGTTAGGGGAAGGGTTAAGGCTCACAAACCTGTTTAACGCCGCCACATTCTTTATGTGCTTGTCCTCAGTCAAGAGCCCGTAGTTCAGTGGTTGTCGTTGGTTCATGTCTGTCATATTTTTTTTCGTAAATTGTTTTGTTATGAATAAGGCCTTTGGTTTTCTCAATTGAATTGTTTCATATTGTTGCCTATAATTGCTTAAAAATAATGAAAAGATATAGAAATGAAGACCCGACCCCCCCCCCCCCCCCCCCCCCCCCACACACACACACACACGACCACCATCATCCCCAATACGTGACACCATCACCCCCAATACGTGACACCATCACCACCCACACTCGCATATATACATATCTAAACAAATCTTTAATTTTGGTTTTTTGGTGCCCCCCCCCCCCAGACATCGAGGTTCTGGATCCGCCCCTGAGTATATCATCTATTGTAAATCATACAGATGACTCCGAGTCTCATGAAGAAAAAGGTCTAAATTAGAAAGAAAAACGTATTTCATCAAAGAGAACTGCCTGGTACCAATATATTTAATATGAGGCAGTTGTTGCATGTGAAAAGGAACGAAGTCAGAAAACCTGTAGAATACTTCACGATAGCTGTTGTTAGCCTATATATGTTGTATAAAGAAACATTTTTTGCAATTCCCAGCATAATTTCTGATGGGAAAGTAACTGAATTTAATAAAAAAAAAAAAAAGCATGATTAATACATTAAAAAACAGAAACATATATATTACATATTATTAGAAGTATTATACAGAAGTATTATAAGAAGTCTCAGCAAGGATTTAGCTTGTTAGATACAGCACCCGGGCATCACTGTAGGTGAAGCTTTTCATTAGATATGCTGATCATTCCATAACCAAGGTTATCTAATAATTCAGTATAGAACCTGGCAATACAAATGTCACGGAGTGTAAAAGACAAAAAAATAATAATTATATATAAAATGTCTATTTAATCTATTTTCACTTTATTAATAATTGTTATAATGCATACGTAAATTGATATCTTTATCGATAATTTAGATAATCTGTTGATTTTGGTGGAATTTAAATCTTATTAAAATGTTAGAATTAAAATATATGCCTTTTATTTACGCAGAGGTATATGTCACCATATATTTAATATGAGGCAGGCGTTACCTGTGAAAGGGGACGAAGTCTGTATGAATTATTTTTTTTTAATACACCTTATCGCTATTCCCGGCTGACCCGAGAATCTGTCCCGCTTGAACTTTTGACGTCATACAACAATCACTTTTCCATTGTGGCGTCAGATATTTTGTATTATGACGTCAAAATTTTACGGGAACCTGTGTGATGTCCATTAATGGCGGACAAATAGCGATAAGGTGTATTCAAACATATTTTAACTTCAAAATCTGTTCAAAAAAGAAACGGAAATACCCTTACGTTTCCGATTTCGGTTCTGTTGTTCGGAATTTTAGTTGTGACGTTATTTATGTTATGACGTCATATTCAATGTAAACAAAGAAACGCTATCCATGAGGTAATGTTTTTTCATATCAAGCCATTCAAGGAATTATTAAAAATGGAATTGGTATTGCGTTCCTTCCTATATTTTACTAGACTGATAAATATATATTTTACTCAAAGACTCATGCAAACGAGACCGGAAAAAGGAAGTAGATTTCTGCGCAAATGCGGGAAAATAAAAAAAGTCTGAAAATAAAAAAGTTAACGATTTTGAGTTCATTAGTACAATGAAAATTTCGGGAAATTTTCCCGATTTTTTTTTTTTTTTTTTTTTTATTGATTTTTCTACTGTAATAGGGGACTTCGTCCCCTTATTAATACCTTTCAAATTCTTTGGAAGTCTCGGTAAAAGCTAGCCATTTACAAAATTACAAAGTATATGATGCATTTACTGTGATCTTTAAAAAGATATAATAAATTTTCAATTATAGAGGTATTATATTTTGATCGATAGATTGATTTAATACGGAAATTGTGAAAAAAAAAATAAATAAAAGCAAAACTGAAATTAAAGGTTACACGGATAGGTTACGTCAGAATTACTGACTTAACCACGTACCTGCAAACTACTGGATAAGTACTGCATGTAAAACACGACAAAAGAATGATACCCGTTTTATGACATGGATCTAGCTCCTCTGCAGATTATCGTGCATCAGTTCCCTTATATACAATAATTATAAGTTATGCTATGTGCACAAACACTTGCAAAGTCAACCTGTAGGGTAAATTCTCAAACTGAATGGTTACATCTGAGATTCCTATAATCACTGATATAGTAATCGCAGGTTACATGGAACATGTGGAAGGTGATATACGATCCTATTGAATCTGGATGCCGGACATGTCAGACACTCTACCACCAATACAATAGACAATAACATTATTGAAGCTTGAGGGCTGCACCTAATTAATACTTGAACAGTCCTGTTATTTTTATATACATGTAGTCCGGCAGTCAATCTTTTTTGGTCTTTAAATGAATAGAATATACAAATAAGAAGATGGGTATGCCAATGAGACAACTCTCAGCAGAGACCAAACGACGTAATGGCATAAAACTTAAAAGCTATACGTCACCATACGCCTTCAACAATGAGCAAATCCAATACCGCTTAGTAAGCTATAAAGTGCCCATGCAGAAATCACAGATCTAAAACAATTCAAACTAGAAAAACTAACAGCTTATTTGAGGCACAAACAATAAACGAAAAACAAACATTATGTATACAACAACAAACAACTAATGACTAACGGGCTACTGATTTGGGACAGGCACATACGGCGGGGTTAAACACGTTAGCTGGAAAAGAAAAACTATAAAAGTCAGTTTAAAAGAGCTAAATTCATCGATACATAGCACAAAGTTAAATTAAAAAATAGTTTTCGACCTTGAAAACACTTGACAAGAAGGTACATTTAGTAGGGACGATACCAGGCAAGCGGATGAGAAAATTAAGTTATGTACTAATTCAGATTGTTAACCTCCATGCAGAAAATGTCATGAAGAGTCCAAGTAAGAGTTCCACTTTGTTGATTTCTTCCAAGTACTATTTTTTTTATTATCCCGATTTGCATATAGACTCGATTAAATAAAATCAAACAAGATCACTTATCGTTTTGTTTTCCCAGCACAGATTTGTCAAACAGTCATATTTTGTTAGATATATTTCTATTTGTATCCATCTGATGAGCTTAGCCTTTTTCAAGTGATTTTTTATAGTTAGTTTCTATGTTGTACTGTTACACCACTGTCCCAGGTTAGGGGAAGGGTTGGGATCCTGCTAACATGTTTAACACCGCCACATTCTGTATGTGCCTGTCCCAAGTCAGAAGCCTGCAATTCAGTGATTGTCGTTTGTTGCTGTGTTACATATTTGTTTTTCGTTCATTTTTTTATACATAAATTAGGCTGTTAGTTTTTTCGTTTGAATTGTTTTACATTTGTCATTTCGGGGCCTTTTATAGCTGACTATGCGGTATGGGCTTTGCTCATTGTTGAAGGCCGTACGGTGACCTATAGTTGTTAACTTCTGTGTCATTTGGTCTCTTGTGAATAGTTGTCTCACTGGCAATCACACCACATCTTCCTTTTTATTTATATCTTCTTTTTTATGTATAAACAAAAACCTAATCAATAAAATCCCGTGATATTCTATTTCTTATGGTGAATTTTCATTCTGCATTTTGTATTACAAATCTATGAGGGTCTTGATGGGGTCCGTCATTTCTGTATTCTTTAATTTTTGTAGGTAATTTTTCTGTAATCTTTATCTTTTAGTGCTAAACCATGTGATAGAAAAACTCTTTTACAGTGTGAATTATACATGTCTTTCAGAATAACGATTACAATTCGACTTTGCCTTAGAATATAACACAGAATCAAGTAATGACAAAATAAAGAATGTAAAGAAAATGTCGTCTCGCCAATGAAAAGTTAATTTCAATGAAATAAGCATACGCTTTCCCTGTCGCAATATTTTGGAACATCATCGCCTGTTGTAAGAGCCCGTTACAATAATTTGTGTAACTTATACATTTTTTAAAAATCATTTACATGTATTATGTACAATGTATCTTTTTTTATGTAAGATCTAAATTTAACTTGTCTTTTTCTGGTGGTTCAGTGATTCACTGAGACTTCCCTTCAAATTACTGAAGTATTAGACCACAACGAGCCCAATATCTGATTTCAGAAAACGACATTCTCTTTCTAGATCGTATCTGTTTTTTTTCTGTCTCATTTAAACAACAGATACACATCGATGAAATGTGTTAATTACGGAAATCAAGTTTTGATGCACTAGTTATAAATCCTAATATGCCAAAAATGAAATTAATTATTTCATTATTTTTTGGATTTATTGGTTTTCAGGTAAGATTTGTATATTTTTGTAAGTGTACATTCGTTTTCTGTTGACCACATACTTACGTTGTACTAACACCATTCTTGCAAGAACCGGGAAACTGTTTAGTACAGAGATGCTCAAAAGAAGTGGCAGTTAAAGCAGAAAATGGGCAATACTATGAATTCTATTTCTACATGATATTTGATAGCAAGCGAACGAAATTCATTTTTTGGTTTATTCTTATCACATTAAATAATTATCTGACTAAAGAGACAAGGGATTGCATCTTTACTCCAGACCTACATTTTTTAAAGGTAATTCGAGATTCATATCACTCCCAATTTATATGTAATAGGTACCGATTCACGAAAAAGAACAAAGAGTGAATTGATTATAACCAACGACGCAATTAAATTTGATATCTGGTGTGACATTTGATTAAGGGTAAACCTTCTTCCTTGTTTTATGCAAATGAGGATGTTATATAGGAGAACAAATAAGTATTTGCATATGGTCTCCTATTACTAAAAATTTACTTATCATGATAAAATTTCTAAACTTGATCATTGGCTGGAAAACAAAATATATTTATTCATATAATTTTATTATTTACATTCGGTTGTAAAATTGAGCAGTACAACAAAGTCATGTACATTACAAAATGTTTTATTCTTTCACACCGTGTAATATATTTTGTAGCAATAATAATATAAAAAAAATCATAATTGCATTTTATATATAGATTAGACCGTTGGTTTTCTCGTTTGAATGGTTTTACACTAGAAATTTTTAGGGCCCTTTATAACTTGCTGTTCGGTGTGAGCCAAGGCTCCGTGTTGACCTATATTGGTTTACTTTTATAAATTTTGACTAGGATGGAGAGTTGTCTCATTGGCACTCATACTGGGACCACATCTTATATCTATTTACGACCGTATACGATTAATTGATGTCGTCCATCTGTAATATATATTTTAGTTTTGTATAAAATATTTGAGTAATGTTGCTATGCGAACAAAATGTAGCTCCATTGTCCGCGGCACTGAATTGGTTATATTTACAGGGTTAAATCCGAAAGTTGTCAAAATCTACAGTAGAATAGGAACAAGTCAAATATAATACAATGTTCACATTAAAGGTTGAACAACAGCATTAACTCAAAATGTTGTTCAGCCTTATGCACATTTGTGTTGAACGCCTAAGGCCCTTTTTGATACAAAATTGCATATTCTACAGATTTTCATAATTCGTATTGAATAAGATTGTAAACCAACATAAGTTTCTTTTCTCTAAAAGATAAAATATCAAAGTTTGACCTTCAGTAAAATTTTGGTTTTCGAGAAGCATGTTCTAATAATCATTTTGTGAACACTACAAAAAAAGCCAAAACAGCAATTCTTAAAATGCAGTTTTCAGTCATCTTTATGTGCTGAAATTTTACTTTTATTTACAAGTTCAAAAATACGCCAGAATGTTGTTAAAACCTCAAATTACCCTTATGAAGCCGTCATACTAAGGATGGGAGTAAAGATGGGAGGACTTATTGACCACGACCCTTGTTTGTAATGAATTAAGTTGAAAATGGATTTACCCCTTTGTACGGTGCAATGATCAATTACGTTTCTTACTTGTTTTATATGTCATAGAAACACTTTAATAAATGAACGAAGCAAGACAAAAATAAAAGTTCAGGGGAAACACTAACAAAAAAAAATAAATAATGTGCAGTAGAGATAAATACCTTTATGATGAAGTTAATAGGACAAGTTCAAAAAGTGATATCAAGCCTTTCAGTTAGCACTGTTAAGTAATAATTCTTCCGAAATAAGTAAGAGATATTAATGAAATCTAAAGATATGAACAGCCATCAATATTTCACATCCTTAAATGCCCACAGAAAATATTTCAGAATGTCTTTGTTCTTTAGGGCATTTTGTGTTTTGTTAAGTTACTACTTGTCTACACTTTGGATATTCACTGCTCGCCATGGCACCATTTTTTTATTATTATCATAAAAGACAGTGTTTTGGTCCGTATTTGTCTTTTTTTTATTTGTCGCTGGGGTGCTGTGTCATTTAAGGGGAGTAAAACAGTTTCAGGTTTTATTGCCCTTTTTGTAATTTTGAAATATGTTGTAGTTAGATATCACATCTTAGAAAAATCTTAATATAAAACAGGTTATCGTGCTTATTTTTGACTCTCCTTAATTGACATACATAGAAAGACCATAGGGAGAGCAGGGGTTTGTTATATCTTTATACAATTATCGAAAACCTTCAGATCTTCATCGATATGAGAAAATGAATAATCATTATGGAATTTGTATCATTTTTTACTAAAAGTAATTATACATATCTTTCAACTTGCAATTGCCGAACCAAAGATTTCGTTGTGCAGCTATAATTATTGTTTAAATTTTTTTTTGTTGACCTTGTAAGCACTTGCAATTGTTTCGTTTGCAAATCAATGATGTTTATGGTCAGTATTCTTAAGCTTTTAATCAGGTTTTGTTGTATTTTTAAGTAATTTTTAATCTGTATATTGTTTCAAGATTCGACTGTTTACTCTATGTTGTGGCACCCACAAACTTACACACCCATACATGCACAAATATGTTGAAAACATGTTGCAAACTTAGAAAGTCCTTAAGCATATACATAAGAATGTTAAACAGAGCTGAACTCAATGCTAAACAAATTATAAGCACTATCAGAAGGATCTATTGGAACTGTAACAGTTGTTAAACTTTTGCACGTTAAATAATAAAACAAAAATACGAAGAAGTGGGTACTACTATGAGTATTATTTCACGTTAAACATATTTTATTTGCTTTTATGGTTAGCAAAAAGGATCAGTCTTCTTAGCTTAAATAGTCTTCAGTGTCACAAATATAGTTAGTGTGTAAATATAAAGGCATACAACAACAACATAAAACAATTATTAATTGTACAAAACTTACAGAAAAAGTTGACAATTCCCCGAATAATTTACAGTCCCACATCACCAGGCTTATTCAAACAACACACTTAACTTATTTCCTTAGGAAGTAGCGAAATCATAAGACTAAACAAAAATAAATTTTACCAAAAAGATGAATTCTGATTTGTGCATAAAACGGGAATTCAAAGAAAAACATGAAAGCTGTCTTTATTCGTACTGCTGCAGTTATATTGAATCTAAAAAAGGTCATACTTCGTATCCATACTATGGAAGCGTCGTCATTGCCATTTGCTTTTTCCGGGACGAGAAAAAAGCAAGAGTGCACACGCTAAGTGTCTCGCCTGCTTTATTGACAATGATCAATTTTATGTTGAAAGACTTTAAGATAAAGGTACAAATATCACACAAACATAACATTATCAATTATTCATGACAATGAGGTCAAGTTCAGATAAACCCTTACTAGGCGCAGACATGTACACCTTACAATCATTTCAGACACGACATATAGTTAACTAATTGCTAATGGTATCCAAGAAACAGACCCAATCCATGAAAACTTAACATTGACTAATAGATGATACATGCCAGACAGACATGTATACTTCACAAGAATTTCAAGCACCAAATATTTGACGTATTGCTTTTAGTTTCTAAGAAAGTGGCTGGAGATGGAAAACTAAAGATTGATCGATGAACCATAAAAATGAGGTCAAGGTCAGATGAACCATGCAAGACAGACATGTACACCGTACATTAATTTCATACAGCAAATATGGTTGACCTATTACTTATAGTATCTGAGAAGAGAACCAAACTACGGGAACTTAACATTGACAAATGAACCTCAAAAATGAGGTCAAGGACAGACAACACCTGCTAGACAGACATCTACACATTACAATCATTTAATACACCAAATATAGTTGACCTACTGCTTATTGTATTTGACAAACAGACAAAACACTAAAGCTTAACATTGACCAATGAACCATGCCAATGAGGTCAAGGTCAGATGAAACCTGCCAGACTGACATGTACATCTTACAATTATTCCAAAGACCACATATGATTGACCTTCTGTATCCGAGAAACGAACATAATCACGTAACTTAAACATTGATCGATAACATGAGGTTAAGGTCAGGTGAACCCTGTCTGACAGACAATGTAGACTTTGCAAGGAACCCATATACCAAATACGGTTATCATATTATTCACTATAAGTAGGAAATTCATATGACAAAAACTACATTTTTTTAAGCTGTCGCTGTACAATGAAAATGAAGTTAAGGACAATAGACATATGACAGACGTAAACTTCGTAACTTAAAGCAATTTTATACAACGAATGTAGCATTCAAGTCTTTTAACCTCTGGAACTATAATGCTTTATACCAATAGTTTACACCGCCGCTGCCGCCGCCGGATTGTGATCCCTATGATTCGCAATCAGGTGCAGGCGAGACAAAAATACTAATGTGATACGCGACAAAATAGCATAAAAAATTGTTGAAGTTAAGCAAATAAAGATTTTTAAATATAAAAAAGAAATAGTCTCCATAAACTATCACAACAGAATGTGTAATCCCAACGTCAATTGTTTATATTTAAAAAATAGTCATTGTCATATTTGTTTTTTTTCTAAATTGTTTTGTTATAAATTATGCCGTTAGTTTTCACATTTGAATCGTTTCACATTTTTCATGTCGAGGCCTTTTATATACATGTAGCTACAATACGGTATTGGTTTTTCTCATTGATGAAGGCCGTATGGTGGCCTATGATTGATTACATCCACTTCATTTGAACTCTGGTGGATAGTTAGTTGTCTCATTGACAATCATACCACATCTCCTTATTTTTATATTTCTATTTTTTCAGATTTCCCCGCAGGCTAGTTTCAAAGAGAACGAAGGGAGTCTTGGGAACATCGAATTCAGCTGCCCCGCAGGTACGACCACAATAGTTAGACGGATATAAAATTACAAGGCCACATCAAGTTAAACTACATTGACATTCTATTTTAAGATGTCACAACTAGATATTCAGATTATCAGGGCTGATCAGATCAGACCGTGGTCTAGAATGGTGTTTTCATACTGTATTATTATTTCTATCAAGTGCAAATTTTGATCTTTTAAACAAAAGAGTATGTTTATCATTCGTGCTAGACTGTACATTTCAAAATCCAATAATTCCTAATCAGTTGCTCAATTTCTTATTCAGTCTGCAATCTCTGTTTTCTATTATCCAGGTCAATATTTTAACGGAGGATACTGCTTCTCTGTTGTGGACGTACCAATGATCTGGAGTGATGCAGACAGGACGTGCAAACGGTAAGTTGCCGTCCAAAACATCAACCGTATATCTCGAATATTCTTAATCTTTCTAGTCTTAATGTCTATTTGCAGTACTGATGGCTCTCTTCTTATATGATGCTATTTTACGTTCTAAGAAAAGTCTCACAGTTTGTAATTCTGTCTAATTTAATTCAAAAAATTTGATTTTTGCTGATAAATTCACCGTTCTGTTGAGTAGGTCCGGTAAGGGCCGATTTTGGCCTCATATTTCAGGTTCATCTGATGAAAGATTTTGGACACTTTTTAAACACTTAAGTGTCTACTTCAGTCGATTTAATTAGTTTATGTGAAAGATTTGAACTGATTTAGTCATTAAAAACGCCCAAATTCAAGCTTAAATATGGAAAATCTATCAAATATGCCATAATATGTCACTTTTCAGTTGGGTTTTGTTAAAAATGAAAGTGGCCGCATCTGTGTTCACTCTTAACCTTTATATATGTTATGTATTTTCATCAAATACAACTTAAATTTAAATATTAAGAATGAACACAAATGCGGCCACTTCCATTTCAGACGGAAACCCTCTAAAATTTAACTCAAATGCTAAAATTTTGAAGATTTCGGTAATTTAGCATGACTTAATGATGCTAGTACCCGCTATATGTGGATTGTATTGTCAAAAACCGCTCATATTTATGTAACAGAAGTATTTTTCTTTCCAATAAATAACTTAAAGTTTACATTTTAACAATTTTGTATAACTGCTATATTTTGGGACCAAAAGGGGTCTTACTGGACCTACTCCTTTACAGTTCTTCTTTTGAATTTAAATACACACGAAACAGTGCATATCTAGCGAAAAACCGAAATTTAGTCCAACAGAAAATTTTGAAATTAACAATATATGTAAAACTTGGATGGTACTTTTATGCTTTTACTGTAAAAAGTTATATAAAAATCATATAAACAGAAATAAACTAGTCGTAACATCTTTCATATGCTTCTACATGAAAAATAAGTGGAGTAACATTATTCATAAAACACACACACACACACACACAATGACCACTTACAATGTTTCATTTAAATATATAGTGAAACCAAAATCATCTTTGTATTCGCATAAACGCATACATAAAAGCAAAACCCCTAATAACACATACATAAAACAAAAATCACCATAACGCATGAATAGAAACAATAGCAATCATCACAAGTGCTCGTAAAAATGCTCGCATAGAAACAAATAATTTTCAACGCATTCTCAAAAACACTTTTGATATTTACGCTGGCCATTTCATAGAATCAAAAACCAACATGATCATTATTTACATATAAGAATGCTAAGTAACACAATGAAGATTATGGTAAGCTATAGTCATTGTCTTTACAGACAAGGCCAGTATTTGTTTTGGGTGCTAGATGTGGATGAATTTAAAGCGGTTGATCATTTAGCAAAGTCAACATGGGAATATTATTGGTCAGGTTAGTCAATTATGGAAGAAAAAAAGGGAGTTTAATTAATGTGGTAGTATATTGTTCTTATGGTTACAGGTCGTCACCCTTTTTATTTGTTTCAATCAAAAATCAATGAAAAAAATTTGTTAACGTTCACACAAGTGTGCAGATGCACATTCATGACAGACAACCGGACTTTCAAAAATACAATTTTATAATATTTACGGTTTTATCAATAACCATTAAACAAAAATACAATGATCACTTGATATAGAACAGCATTGATATTATCATATTTATAAATTTACTGTTTACAAAACTTTGAATTGTTCGAAATACTAACGATTTTCTACTACAGAAAAGATGATCTTAGCTGTATTTGACAAAACCTTTCGTTATTTGAGGAACCCTATACTCTTCATCTTTGTACTTTATTTGGATTTTTTTTTGTTCGAAGTTCACTGATGAGTCGTTTGTAAACGCAAAGCGCGTCTGGTATCTTTGTGGAGTTTTTTTTAAAGGATTGACAAAAGAAGATAATGGATAATAAGACGTTTGAAGAGGATTGTCATCCAGTTTGAAAGTGAATAAACATTATATGCCCTGTCACACTTTTAAATATTGCACAGTCAGTTAACAGTAAACATATTAAAAGTATGATTGGCGATCATTTTGTGACAACATCCTTGCTCTAGGTATGATGATGGTTGTCCCGAATTCCTATTGATAAAAAGGTTTATAAGACGGGGTAAAAAATTCGGGCTTACTCATTTTTAAACCTGTATAAAAATCGTTTTTTAATTCCTGAATTTTGGGGAAATTTACCAAGAGGTACAGCAAAACATATATGATAGAATGAATCAAGAAAAAAATCAAAATATGTCCTTTCTCCAATTGTGTATTGATGTAATATTAATTCACTATTTGTGTACATAACGTAAAAAGGCTCTTTACATGTAGGTCTAAGTCGTAGGGAAAGCTGGTTGACGGCTAATGAGGCAATATGGAGTAAAGTAAATAAAACTGTACCGTTGGAGGAATTTGTATGGGAAGATGACCAGCCGGACATAGGGTACGGAGATTGTGTTCACATAAAAAAAGATGGATATGGAACATTTGGAAACTGTTTGAGAAAATTACCATTTGTTTGTAAAGCCGAAGCAGTTTTGAAAGGTTTGTTTTTTTTCTATAATTTTTGAATTCTTATCTGTTTTGATTGTTTTGATTATTAAACGAATCATGATGTGTCTGTCCTTATTATATATAACCCAATCTATGAGTATACATATAATGTCACCATGATATACATTGAATGTAACCCTGACATATATCTATACAACTTACTAACGGAAGCTGGATTATTTTTCAAAATTGATTTGTACTCATTCATACTTTTATGGCTTTGATATTTAATCATTTAATTTTTATTTTATTGAAACACATGCATTCATTTAATTATTCGAAAAACTATAGTTTTTCAACACCCCTCCTAGGAATAAACTCCTATGCCTCATTTGGTACAATGTTTTTTGTGGAAATTTCAGTTTTAAATGCTCTTCAAATTCGTGTATGATTTATTTGGCCTTCCAACTGTTAAGTTTTGAGCGTCTCTGATGAGTATTATGTTGACGAAACGCGCGTCTGGAGTACCAAATTATTAGCCTGGTATTTTTTATGTGTTTAAATGACCTACATTGAGTGCTAGGCTTTGAATATAAATCAAGATTGAATTTATTGTTCAAATGACATATAACGTCTATATCTTAAAGCTAGATAAACATCCAGTTATTTTCCTATACACAGCATCAACCTTAGAAAATTGCTGCATTAATTTTAATTATGTAACTGTTTCTAAATTTTTCTCCATTATAGTGGTTTAGTCCTTTTAAAAAGTTTATTTTGTGTTTTTTCATCACTTTCATGTTATATCATAATCATAGATAAAACATATCAAATGTCAGTCATATGATATATACGATGAATTCTTTATAAATTTACATGCATTGATATTCATTAAATGTTCTAACGACACAGATTTGATTTGAAACTTCACCAAGTAGAGGTATATTGTGAATTATTACTACCAGTCTTTTACAAAAGTTGTGATATCTAAGGGACAAACATAAATTAAATGTATTTAAAATCAACAGTATGGCCAAATTTCCACCCCCCCCCCCCCCCCCCAAAAAAAAAAAACCACTAATCCAAAATTACCTTGAGAACCGAAGTACATACAATAACTAACTGTCGACCAAATTATGATGGCGCCTGTTAAACGTTCAAAGGAAGAATTTCAATTTCATTAAGTATTGGTATTGTAGCTGCCTTTTAAGTATCAATCATTTATTCTCTATCAAGGTAATCACAGTTAGAATTGCAAGAAGTAAACGGAAAGTCCTTTATCAAATCAAAAACTCAAACACATCAAACGAATGGAAAACAACTGTCATATTCCTAACTTGATCCAGACATTTCCTTATGTAGAAAATGATGGATTAAACTTGGTTTTATATCCAGCTAAACCTCTCAATTTTATGACAGTCGCATAGAATTCCTTCAGATTGACAACAATGTGTAAGCAAAAAAAAAACCCAGACATAATGTAGGTGAAAATGTAAAAAATTGGGGTACAGCAGTCAACATTGTGTTATAATTTTAATTACTATAAAATAAATAAATATTTCAATGTTAACTGTATCGATTTATGAGTTTGAATGTCCCTCTGGTATCTTTCGCCCCTCTTTTGTATATACAATACGTCAGAATATGCTGCAGAGATTGAATTTTCACAATTTTTGGTGCGCCCCTTATACTACAAAGTATCCTGAATGTACACCTTTGGTTATATTAGATTTAAAACCCTGGATCCTGTAGTAAGAGTAAATCTATCAAGTTTACTATGTCAAGCAATGGGTTTAACGCAAGAAAGAAGACGTAGATATTCTTTCCGACTGGATAAAGACTGTTAGGTCGTTGATACAAATCGGAATTAAAAGCCGAATGGGTTTATGAATACATATGCTACATCAATCTTTAAAGACCCAAATGTTGCAACGCACCTGCCTACCTCCATGACAAAAATGTTGTTGTCCCTGAAGATAAAGCCCAAAACAACATCGTTTAAATTTGTAAATCACATTACGTAGACTGCTTGATAAATGAATAAGGTATTGACAATTCTCTTGGAAGCTCAACATATACCCCCCACTACACTTACCAAATGGGAAATCCTAGATAATCATAGGATGGTTTTATGTTCCTTTGGAATTTTAACCAAAGATGAATAACTGGATCTCCGTTCACTGTAATGGATACCTTAATAACACAAGTGTCCTTACAAACTACTAGTACTTTATATTGCAAGGTCTTCCAAGTGCTCCACGAAACCTCTATCTAAATTATTAACACCAATTTTATCAAAAATCAAAGCCGAGCTTATAAGTTATTGTGAAACTACCTATTCTAGAGGCGGCGTGAATTAGATGTGGATACTAAAAAACGTTCAAAAGATTTGTTAGAGTACATACAGTCTAATACTCTTTCATCTTACAATAGTACTAACACATTTGACTTTTCTACACTTAACACAAGTATTCCCTATTCTGAACTAAAAGACTAATTGAACGAGTTGGTCCTGCTTTGTTTCATAAAAAAGAATGGCCAACATAGATACAAATATTTTGTCTTAGGGAGGGATAAATCGTACTTTGTAAAAAAAAACTCTGATTCAAACAAAAAATTCTCTGAAACTGACATTATCAAGATGCTTGATTTCTTGATTGACAACACATTTGTTACGTTTACAGGACGTATTTTTTTAACAAAAAATCGGCATTCCTATAGGAACCAACTGTGCTCCTCTTCTTGACAGCTTGGTCCTTCATTCATATGATTCTGACTTCATACAGGGGCTTCTTAGAAAGAATGAAAAGAAGCTTGCATTATTCTTTAACTTCACTTTCGGTATATAGATGATGTCCTCTCACTAAATAATTCAAAGTTTGGTGACTATGATGAACGCATCTATCCCATCGAACATGAAATATAGGATACAACAGATACAGTTAAGTCTTTCTCATATCTTGACTTACATCTAGAAATTGACAATGAGGGTCGGTTGAGAATAAAACGTTACGACGTCAGATTATTGCCAACGATTTAAGCTTAATACCAAATTTCACTTACTGCCACTAACATATATATGAACACTAAAAATGGTTCTTTCGAAGCGCCTTTTTCGTGGTTCTCGGGGATTTGCATTAAAGTAAAAGATAAAATTAACACTTTATAACTTTGGTGCATCCGAGCGTTTCGTCAGAAAGACGTAAAAAACTCTCCCCACCTTTGCCTTTTAAAATTTAAATTGAATCAACAGTTATCAGTTAAAGATGAAAGTGAAGTTATAGGCTCCGGCATGTGTTTTTTATACAAATGCATGAACAATGATTGGCAAAACTGGTTTACATAGTATGCTCACCGTCTTTGGAACAATACGTCCACCAAACGTAACTTATATGGTGCCAATAAAAACAGCAGTCATTGTTATGACGTCAGTTTCAGAGAACTTTCTATTGGAAACATGTTTTTGTTCTTAGAATAAAACACATCAAAGATACCAGGCTTATATTGTATGTCGATCTATTCCAACCTGTTTGAACCTAGAAAACACATTGTAGTATTTGTATATAAGTTCGCCATTATTGTTTATGAAACATAGTTGGACCAGGTTTTTCAATCTTTCTTGACATTTAGAATAAAGGAAAACTGTGTAAACTTTGGAAATATGAATGGCTTCATATCATTGCTTGATTATTTAGTATCAAACTGATTTTTGGTAGTTTCATACTTTCTGTTGAAGCCTGGTTTTAATTTCTGATAGAGTAAATATAAGTTATTTTAAAAGAAGTTACATAGAATATTACGCAGACCTAGCAATATAGTGCGGTTTGTTAGGAAACATATGTGATTTGATAAATAAAAGAAAATGAACACACAGTTCCCTATCTTTCGTTAAATGTCCTAAAAAAAAAGAATAAATAGATTTGTTCTTTCAGAAGTGTCGCTTGAGTTCATGTTTGTTTTTAAGTCAGATTGACATTACCCTATTCCCTCCGAACGCAAACTGAATATCGTATTTAGACACCAAACTTTATTGTTTAAGGATTTGTCTGCACTGACGACATAATTGTCATCGAGTGTTTGATCATTTTTTGTATTCTGGTCTTTCATTTTTGCTTATGTGCTTTTACTATAGAGTGTCTAAATGACTTTTTGTTTTTCTTTGTTGAAATAGTAATTTATTTTATAGTGATTAAGATTATTACACAATGTTGACTGCTGTACCCCAATTTTTGACATTTTTACGTATTATGTCTGTTTGTTTTGCTCACACATTCTTGTCAACATAAAGGAATCCTATGCGACTGTCATACAAGTGAGAAGTTAAGCTAGCTATAAAACCAGGCTTAATCCACCATTTTCTACACAAGGAAATGCCTGTAATAAGTCAGGAATTTGACAGTTGTTTTCCATTTGTTTGATGTGTTTGAGCTTTTGATTTTGTCATTTGATAAAGGACTTTCCGTTTTAAATTTTCCTTGGTGTTCGCCATTTTTGTTATTTTACTTTTCAAATATCTGTCTAACTAAATATTGGTGAGTAAAGATGATAGATATAGCATTTATATTCAAAGAGATAACCTGTTAAGTTTTTTTATTCTTCTTAAAGACGTCACAGCTTAAACTATTCGGAAAAGTATTTATATTCTCTCTGTCATGAATTTACCGTTATAAGATATATGAAATTTTTGTCATCGAGTTTAGTCATATTTTAGCAAAAGTTTTTTGTGTAAAGATATCTTTATCATGAATGGTCAAAAGGTTTGCCTGTTAATATTTTCATTTATACGTTAAGACCTGACATATTTTACCTGTTTGGAAAAATAATATTTATTCCTTTTTCTCTTACATGATTTGACCGTTGAAAGATATATGGGCATCATGAGCAAAATGATGCTTTTTTGAGAAATTGCCTGTGTTAATGTTGATTTTCATTTCAAATAGACATTCAATACATATAGATATTTATGAAAAGATTATGTTTTTTCTTTTAATTTGAAGTACGTGCAGTTAAATGAAATCAGTAGGGAATCTAACAAACACTGAAAACCAGTCCTTTTCAATGTTTGTCCCTTTTTCCACAAGGACGCCATTTGTTATAGAAAAAAAAAAACACGTTCTGGTGAATACTTAGTCTAGTAGTAACAGAACAATTGACTGAAATCCAAAACAAAATTACCATATAATGTTATCGTCTCCCTTTTCATACATCAAACGATGAGAAAAGGTGGCTATAGTATTTTTGTGTAGATTGGTCTGAAATGTTGCTTTTCGAAACGTTCTTTGTGAACCAACTCCAATTAATTGTTTTGACTGGAAAGAGCTTTAAATTGTTTATGTTCATGATTTTTCCAATTGTACTTATCAATATGCAGCAAAAATTAATATTTTTCAAATTTCAGTGAGAGAGAAGCGAAAGATACCAGAGGGACATTCAAACTCATAAGTCGAAAATAAACTGACAACGCCATGGCTAAAAAAGAAAAATAGACAAACAGACAAACAATAGTACACAAAACACAACAAAGAAAACTAAAGACTGAGCAAGACGAACCCCACCAAAAACTATCGGTGATCCCGGGTGCTCCGGAAGGGTAAGCAGATCCTGCTCCACATGTGGCACCTGTCGTGAAACACGCTTCTAAAACGATTATCTTGATTAATTAGGATAGTAAGACATTATGTATGTATATGTATATTTCAAGTAACATAGTTAAACAGATTATTTCTTTTAAATATACGATGATGGTTTCGAAGTAACAAACTATTTTGATTGTCTCGACTTTTTCATAAGAATCGCTTTTCTAATGTTCTTGAATCATTGATATTCCCACTGACATGATTTTATATATTTCTATTTGTAGGTTATTTTCTCTGTAGAAGCGGAGAAGGAATTCAGTCCAAATTTGTCTGTGATGGCCATAATGACTGCCAAGATATGTCAGATGAAGCTAATTGTGGTTTGTATTCATAGTTTCTTCACATATATAGAAAAGGAATAGTTTTCCCTGCTGGTCTTTATCTAAACTACTTCTAAATTTCTTGGTTCTTTCTAAATATTGTAACAGACATGTGACAGGATCTAACTTCTTATTGTCTGTGAATGCAGGAACAACAATTTTTGAATTTACTAGTATATGATTTTGTCGATCCTGCTTCGTCAAACATCTAATAAATGTACTGCCTTTTTGTTGTATCCTCATAAAGGAATGGTTCACTCTGAGAGACTGCAATCACTACATCTCCCGAAAGTAGCAATAGAGATTACAAAGACAGTTTTAAATGTCAATTTTTTCAAATCAATATTAATATAATAAGGTTCAAAAGGTTCTTTCTGCAATAAGTTTAAAACCAACTACAAATCCCTGACGGTGTAGAATTAAAAAACCCTTTTATAAGTCTTGTAATTTATGGATATTGACCTACTGCAGTATTATCAACTTGAGATAAAACATTGGAAGACATAGACCTGTACCCTGCAATAGCCCTGTAATGCAATCTATTTTCAAACAGATGGGCTAAAAAATCTGCTACCTGATTTAAAGTTGAATTATGGGGATTAATTTCCCTTGTGCTAAATTAGCTACAGTACTTCTTGAATTTTGAACTATAGTCTTTCTGAGTTCCTTTCCTTCATGAAGCTGAGAGTAAATTTCTAGCTTCTTTTGAAAAGCCCTCTGCTTGGAACGATCTGTTGGTAGAAGCCAAGCAGTCAGTCTGGATGAAAAACTTGAGACCTTGGTTGACGGAGAATGTCTGATTGTATCAGGAGACTGACTGCGTAATCTATTAATAGTTGAAGTAATTCCGGGTACCAGTGTCTTCTGGGCCACAAAGGAGCTATCACAGGAATCTCACACTGGAACTGTCTCATATATTGCAATATCTTGGGTATCAGGCAAATTGGGGGATATGCGTAAGCATACATTTTCGCCAAAGATATTGTCAGGGCATCCAAGGCAAAAGCTTGAGGATGTGGAATCCATGAGCAAAAAACTTTCATCTGACGGTTCTCTGCCGTGGTTAATACATCCATCAGAGGTTGGTCCCACAAGAGAAAAAGTTTCTGTACAATTTGAGTGTTCAGTGACCACTCTGTATGAAGAATTTTGTTCCTGCTCTGCAATTATGTTTTTATTCCCCATTATATGAGCTGCTTTCAGGGTTATATTGGATTGAAATGCTAAAGTCCAAAGTTCCCATGTTTTGTAACGCAACTGAGGTGGTTTGGTTATTTGTTGATGTACTGGACCACGTTTGTGTTGTCTGATCTGATCAGTACCGATTTCCCTATCAGATATTTTAGAAAATGTTTGCTTGTAAGCACTTCTGCTTCCAATTCCAAGTAATTATGTGTTTCTTGCTCTCAGAAACAGACCATTTCCCCTGAAAAAATTTTCTTGTCCATTACACCCCATAACCTGTTTTTGAAGCATCTGTAGTTATGGTTATACAAGTCTGTTGAGGTTGCAAAGAGCGGCCTTTCAGCGTGTTCGCTGAATTTAACCACCGAATCAGATGAGATTTGAGATGTTGCGTAACTGGGACTTTTGTTTTCAACTCTTGACATGCTGGTCTCCAAAAAGAGAGAAGATGGAGTTGAATTGATCTCATGTACAAACGAGCATTTGGAATTAGTTCTATACATGAGGCCATTATCCCCAGAAGATGAAGAAAATTTAAAGTTGTTACTTTGATTTCTTTCCACTATTTTTTGAATGGCTAGATTAGACCTGTGTATTCGTTCCTGTGTTGGGAATATTAACCCTTTTTCCAGGTCGAAAAGTGCCCCTAAATAAATCAATTTGGGACTCGGAACCAGTTTGGAATTTTCTTTGTTCACTATGAACTCTTGTGATACCAAGAGATTTAGACATTCTGCTCGATCTAAGCATAGATGTGCTTTTTGTTGGTTTATTATTAATCAATCGTCCAGATATACTACTAATATTATATTTTTCGTTCACAAGTCTACCTCGTGGGGCAGGTGTTGGACCGAAGCACAGAGCTTTGAATTGAAATGCTTGATTTTGAAGGTAAAATCTTAGATACTGGCAATGACTTGGAATTATTTGGACATTTAAATACGCATCACTTAGGTCGAGCGTTATGGCCCAATCTCTTGATTCTGCTATATTCAACACTTTGAATCTTGAATGTCTTTTCTGAAGATACCCGTTGAGAGGTCTCAGATTTATGACTGGTCTCATCTTCCCCATTTTTTTTGGGGACCAGAAAAATGTGCTGTAAAAACCTGATTGAAAAAAAGAGGGACGAAAGATACCAGAGGGACAGTCAAACTCATAGATCGAAAACAAACTGACAACGTCATGGCCAAAAATAAAAAGACAAACAGACAAATAATACAACAGATGACACAACATAGAAAACCAAAGACTAAGCAACACGAACCCCACCAAAAACTGGGGGTGATCTCAGGTGCTGCGGAAGGGTAAGCAGATCCTGCTCCACATGTGGCACCCGTCGTGTTGCTTATGTTATTACAAATCCGGTAAATAGTCTAATTCGGTGTCACATTCGTGAAAAGGGAAAGGTATTGTAGTTACGACATAAGGAACATATCCGATATCATCTGTGAAACGGTTATTCCATAACGGTCAACCAACTCGTGATGGCGTCCGTAAAATTTACGAAGGGATGACTTCAACTTCACCATTTGAAATTCTTGGTTTAATAGCTTCCTTGTGAGCAACATTCTCAGACGACCCCCTACTGGTATCTTGTCTTGATTTTGAAATAAAATAACCTGTATCTCTGAGTCAGCTGGACTGTTTCTTGGGGATACGAAAAGAACCCCAGGAACCTGTACCACTGTTTGATGTCTTAGCATCTATGTCTTTCTTGTCTTTATTTCCAAAGCCACCTCTCTGTAAAGTCTTATTAGACGAATTTATAGTAGACTGTCTATTAGTATTAAAAGACGGTTTTTTATAGTTATTGAAATTATTATAAGTAGAGTTTCGTGCAAACTTTGATTGTTTATTAGACCAACTATCACGACTACCATAGTTCAACTTTCTTGTGTTGCCTTTGTGAAATTCGGGTAACAAATCCTCCAATTCTTCCCTTTGCTTTTCTCTTTTCTAAAGTTGTTTTTCTAGACCTTGTCCAATAAAACTGTTTTTGCTTGTCCCAAGATTTCACAGTTTTATTACCATGAACACGTTTTATCATAGGTTCTAGCATATCATCTAAACTTGTCACTTGAAATACCGGTAAAGATTTCTCATGTACAGGAAAACATGATCTATACTAGTACTATTCTTTATAAGAAGACAAACGTTTAGGATGTTGCGTTCTCCATGAATAAGATAAAATCTTTACTGGAGAATCATCTTAATTTAAACCTACTGACTCATCACTATTGACACCTGTTAAAAATCTTAGCTAGTCTATCAACTTTATTGTGGCATGTAGTATTAGTGTTAATGTTACCTAAAGAATTTTCATCAACAGTAGATTTATAATGAACACTTGAATCTAAGTATTTCCTAATCTGTCAGTTTTCTTAGAATTACTGTTTTTATCAAGTAAATGACTACTCACTGATTGAGTATCACTCTCTTCCTGATCTGAAATCAGGCTCCACAAATCTCGTTTCTCCCGACAATCTACTTGTAAAAATATTTCTGAGCGTTCATCAAAATTTCTTAAATTCTTGGAATACCTAAAATCATTCAAGTTAGGTTCCACAGGAATTAATAGTCTACGCTCCCTCTGAACAGGACCGTTAACCATTCTCGTAATATCGTTCACCTGCGTGGCTAACCCACCAGTATGAGAACTATCTGCAACTTTATTAGCTGTCTGAAGCAACCAAAAAGTTTATCAAACCGCTTTTCAAAGCTGTCTTCTATGCTAAAAAGCTTCATTTCTAGTTCCGCCGTCTTGGACGAACGTTTCTTAGATTTACTTTTTGATATTTTGCCGGTTCTGGCCATTTTGATATCACGAATTTGATAACTGTACTTCCGGCATTAACGACAGAATCACCTGCTTATTCTTCTTCGGATATTCTATTAGTTTCTTATGTATTCATAAAGTAATATAGTCATAGTAAAACGACAAATTTAAATCGGCAGTAAAAATTTACTGACCGAAATGCGAAGTGAACGTGTTTTGTACACGCCGTAAGATAAACTGAAGCTTGCACACACGGATGATCGGGGTTATGGTAATGTTTCAATCAAGATCATCTGTGTGTTTGCGAGTTATAAACGTAGTAAAGAAAGATAATCCAAAAGTATGTTTCTGACTAGTAAGTATAGATAATTGAAACAAAATTGTAGATTTTTCGAAGGATTTTCTTTTCTACTTTTAGTGACGATCGAAATTGATCAGAAAAAAACATTTTGGAAATCCTTTCGTAAGTTACAAAAATGACGAGTGCTGGCAAAATAACTGACCCTGCAATCATTTCATACACCAAATATAGTTCATCAATTGCTTATAGTATCTGATAAACAGACATGACAATTAACACTTAGCATGAACGAATGTACCATGGAAATTAGGCCATGGTAATATGAAACCTTCCAGACCAAACATGTTTACCGTCGAATCATCACATACACCAAATATTGTGGCCCTATTGCTTAAAATATCTGAGAAGCAGACCACACCACTAAAAACTTAACATTGACCAATTAACCATGAAAATGAGGTCATGGTCAAGTGAAACCTGTCCGCCGGACAAGTACAACTTACAATTATTCTATACACAAAATATAGTTGACCTTTCGCTTATAATATCTGATAAACTGACAAAACTATAAAGACCATAAAACCATAAAAACTTAAATTCTGATAAATTCACCATGAAAATGAGTTAAAGGTCAGATGGAACCCGTTGGTCGGATATGTACAACTTACAATCATTTCATACACCAAATAGAGTTGACGTATAATTTATGAGAAATAAACGAAACCACAGTATCTTAAAAATGTCCGCTGAACCATTTTAAAAGGTCTAGATCATCATGATCATATGAAACCTACCAGACAGACATGTTCACTCATTCACAGCTGATCTATTGTTTATAGTATTTGAGAAAGAAACCAAACCACATAAAAAAACTCAGCATTGACCAAATAATCTTGAAAATGAAGACAAGGTCAGCCAGAAACCTGCCAGTCAGACATGTACAAATAACAATCATTCTTTACACCAAATATAGATGACCTATAGCTTTAAGTAGTTGAGATACGGACTTGACCACGAAAACTTAACATTGGTCACTGATACCTGATACGAGGTCAGGTGAACCGTGTCTGACGGACATGTAGGCCTTGCAAGGATCTCACATACCAACTAAAGTTATCATATTACTCATAATAAGTGAACATTTTCACATGACAAAAGAACAACTAGTATACATTTTTTCAAACAGTCGCAGAACCATGAATTGAGTTCAGGGACATTAGACATATAACAGACGGAAACTTCGTAACATGAGGCATTTGCATACAAGAAATGAAGCACACAGGTTTTCTTACTTTTGAAATAAAAGGATTTATACCAAAAAAATTTAGCCGCTTCCGCCACCGCCGAACGGTAATCCATATGTCTCGGAGGTAGAAAAAAAAACCACGAAAAAGCACCCTTCAGATGTTTAAATGGGATTAGTATGTCAAATATCAATAAATTCAATTTAAAATGTTATCTTATTTTTTTCCATTAAGACTTCATTCTTATTGCAATTAGTGCTCAACAGCAAAAGCTGCCAAGTTGTATATCTGTTTGGGTAAGGCCTTGGTTCATGTTCTTGTCCAAAACTTTCGTGTAGAATAGCTATTTTATGTCAAATATGTTTATTTCGTTATGTTTATTATGCCACAGTGACATCACAAGTGAAATTTCTGTACTAAGATGAATCGACATATAAAATTATCCATACCATTTCCATCATTATGAAAGGCTTGAATTATTTAACAATCTTTGCAAATTCAGGGCCAAATGATGGGTCTTATCATATCTGCTCCTTTAAGGTACTTACTAAAAGAATTAAATAACCGCTTTATGTAAAATGCTTCAGCACTGAATTCCCTATGGACAGTGTTGCATTTGATGCTATGTTAACACATTGGAGCTAAAAGTTACTGTATTTTTTGAATATTCAAAAACTTCAATTCTATTTAGAAAATAAAAAACAATACAACTTATAGCTTCAGTTAATAAGTCTAACAAGCGAAACTTATTTAAATCATTTTGGCTGCTCTGTTCAGTGACAGATAGGAACATTTGCAATAATGCATATGTAAGAGTATATAATTTATATTGCATAGCATAAGAATAATTGTATGATGTGATAAGTAAAGAAATACAAAATTTCAAAACTACTACTTTCACGTATAACAGATATTTGATATTGTGAACATATCAAATTAAGGCGTCAATCGATTAGGACAAGACAAATTAAGGTAACAAGCAGCGACTAAGAGAATCGTATTGACTCCAAAAGGAGCAAGACAGGTTGTACAAAGTTCTTGATGACTTTGCCAAAATTAATTAAGGTATGCTGTTAAAAAAAGTATTAAAGAAAAAGTAAAATAAAAAGGAAACAAATACCAAACTCCAAGGAAAATTCAAAACGGAAAGTCCCTAAGCAAATGGCAGAATCAAAAGCTCAAACACATCAAACGAATGAAAAAAAAAAAGTCATATTTCTGACTTGGTACAGGCATTTCCTTATGTAGAAAATAGTGGATTTAACCTGGTTTTATAGCTAGCTAAACCTCTCACTTGTATGAACGGCGCATAAAATTCCATTATATTGACAATGATGTGTGAACAAAACAAACAGTCATAATAGGTAAAAATGTCAAAAAAGGGGGTACAGCAGTCAACATTGTGTTATAATCCTAATCACTGTAAACATGATAAAACAACAAATATGTCAACAAAGAAAAACAAAATGGTATATAGACAAAACACATAAGCAAAAATGAAAGACAATAATACAAAAAATGACCATAGCACAATTAACATAATGGCGGGATGTTTAAGTACCGAGCCTCTCCAAAAGGATATTACCAAAAATAGACTAAACAGTAAAGGTTAATAATTTACATAGACATATAAAAGAACATTATAACACGTAATAAAATGATAATCTATTTTACGACACTGTAGACGAATTTTTTAAAAATGAAAGTGTATTTTAATAGCTTTCTTAATTACAAAACTTGTAATTACCAGATAGTTCTAGAATAAGTGTAGTTTTCATTTCCATTCAAAATAATCAATTTGACGTTTGAGTCGGGACGACCCTTTTTATTCGCTAAAGTTTGACTTGTAATTAATATTTTCAACACAATACAAATAATTCAAACAGAATCTATCAACAAAATTTCATATCCCTCTTATCAAACAACCATACCACAAAAACATATTTTTTTACTTAGAAGCAATGTTCACTTAAAACAAGATAACCTGTACTACTTGGTATGTTGTTATGTTGATATTAAGCACCCCTAAACCAACTTTTCTGCCTGTTTAATGTTATAAAAAGTAAAATAACAAAAATACCGAACTCCAAGGAAAATTCAAAACGGAAAGTCCCTTATTAAATGGAAAAATCAAAAGCTCAAACACATCAAACGAATGGAAAACAACTGTCATATTCCTGACTTTGTACAGGCATGTCCATATGTAGAAAATGGTCGATTGAACAGTCGCATAGAATTCGATTATATTGACAACAATGTGTGAGCAAAACAAACAGATGAATTAGCGATTCACTGAATCGTGGTGTCGTCCTTCGAGAATTAGAACCTATGTTCAATTGTTTTGAGATTGTTTTATTTCTGATGAAGTAACATGTATTGAATTAATAAGATAATGTGAAAAACGATTACAATAGTTAATAACAACAATCAGTCAAAACTGAAATCTTCCAGAATAATCTGATCGAATGAAAATCTGGTCAATTATGTTGCCAGATATATCATATATATATATGACCTTTATATAATTCATTTAACAAAATGTGTTGTGTTATCTGGTTGAAATCATAAGTTCTCCTGCAGAAATAATGTTCTGGTCCTCAAAAGGATTTTTTGTTTGCATAACAAATAATCCAGGCAGCAGACAAAAATAGAAATAACTATAAATGTTTATTCTTCTTTCTTGTTATCTTAGAACGATATCTAAAATTAGACCTAGCATTACTTATTAATACTATGTTGGTTTAATAACTTAGCTGTAAGTTCTACATGTCAATGTTTAGTCATAAGAACCACAACTGGAGCATTCACATTTGTATTTTTGTTCTCTTTTTTGTGTTTAAACAATACTATTCATGGTCAAGACAATGCACGTCGTTAAAAAATAATTTTAGTATATTTATCTTAACGTATAGGTTTCTTATAAAAACATTCGAATTAAAATCTTAAGAAAGGAGAAGAAGTTTCAAAAAGGTCACCTGTTTGGTTCCCTGATTTCAATTCGAAAAGCTTTATTAAAACATAAAACGACATCATGTAGGTGTTATCAAACTTAAGTCTGTCAGATATCACGATTTATATTTTTTAATTTTGACTTGCATATTTGCTTTTTGACCTAAAACTGTGTGTGTCATTTAAATTTCGATTTAAGTAAAGGCTTTATCCCCAAACAAATATCTTGTTCCAAAGATATTATTGTGGATAACTTATCTTAATTACTAGTATTGGGTTAAGCATTGGTTCATCGGCCAAAACAATAGTTTATTTATAATAGCCATTTAATTCAATCAATATGCCATTTTTAGATGTCCATGACATAGTTGTATTTCTACTCTAATGTGCGACCAGATTATGCCATCTTTTACATTTACCAGTAATCGTCACATTATTTCAGAGGCAGATAAAGTTTACTTTTGTACCTCCCTTCTTGTTTTATAATGCACAATTTCTGTATCATTTATCTTTTTATTAGAAACTTTATGTATCTATGTTATATTTTATGCCATGTTTATAATCAAATATGTCTTTTTTAATTCCGTTTATTATTTTTAACATTGCCATATAAGCTGGAGGTTTGGCTAGCCATAAAACCAGGCTCAACCCACCATTTGTTCTTAAAATGTCCTGTCCCAAGTCAGGAATATGGCAGTTGTTATCAAATAGTTCGTTTCTATGTATGTTGGCGTTTGTTTTTTTCGCACTTCAGTGTTTCTGTTGTTCCTTTGTTTTCCTCTTACAGTTCAAGTGTTTCCCTCGGTTTTAGTTTGTAACCAGGATTTGTTTTCTCTGAATTGATTTATGACTCTTGAACAGCGGTATACTACTGTTGCTTTTATATAATACATTGTAGCCGAAGAATCCAACATTTATTAGAAAATATATGTATTGCTTTTAATAATTATTAAGACATTTTTAGAGAAAATACTGACAAAGAAATCAACGGTTTTATAAAGATATTCCTTGCACTTTACGTCAAGTGTCCTTTGCGAAAAAAAAAGACATCCGTACAAAAGTCAAAATATGTTTGAAAAAATTGAAATGTAACATGTTTTTATTCTTGTAGCTTTCTGCTATGATCTATAGATTTACATACTATTTAATTATATTAGTAAATTTGTCCTTAAGACTAGTTATTTGAATCTTAAAAAAGCGGTTAGGGGAAATAATATTAAACATGATTGCCAGATACTCTTTTGGTATATTCTCAGTTTTAAATGAAAGCAAAAATGCGTATTTCGTTAGTTGGAGAGCTTTTATATGTTCATGATATCACTATGTGTTCTTCGGATTTACAGTCAGTAGATGTCATTATATGATTGATGCAGAACATGGACAGGGAGATACAAAACCTTCAGGTGAAATTGTCAGCACTAACAAGTACCAGAATTCTAGATCCTGTTTTTGGTCTATTGTTACAAACGTTGGATCAATAATAAAAGTGCAGGTAAGAAAGTAAAGTAAATTTTTATTTCAGATTTCTTTCATTTTTCAGACACATGGACCTAGTTTTGGAATATTTTGTTTAATATCTCCAACTAACAATACATAAATATATATATATATATTCAGTATCAACGGTCAATACTTTTTTCCGTCGTTTCTAGATTATAAAAATGTAGCAACATTGGATAAAGCATATAGCGTTTGTTTTATTATCTTAATAGAAAGAAAGCTTTTTTTGAGAAACTCTCTTGTAATGAGTTGCAAACTGGGTAGTATACAGTTCAAGGTTTGAATCTGAAAGATAAACCTGACTTTTACGAAGTTTTAAATTTGTGAACGTTAATGTAATTTTCTTCAAACCTAAATTGGGTAAATTATTTTTTTGGAACATGCAAGTTGGTCACACATAACCACATTGCCTTTATTTTAATTTAAACGTTTTTTGTAGTGATTGTTTACCTATAATTTTGTTAACTCTCTTGAGTTTAGTATAAAGGTTATTTTCTATTGTTTGAGTTTTGTTCTATAACCTACCAAAAACCATGAACTACTTTTTAACGTTTATCTATACATCGCAAAAAAACATCCCATTACCTTTGAAGAAAGCAATCTCTTGGTAAAAACAAATTTGGCTTTTGTTAATAGGATGACTTACAAGAAATACTGTATACTATAAGTTGTAAAAACCTTTCGCAGATAAAATCATTTGATACTGAGAAAAATGCTGATGTTATGGAATTGAGGACTGGTGGAAGAGAAGGAGATATTTTCTTGGCCGAGTTGACAGGCATTGTATATAATCAGCCACTATATTATTCCTCAGACAATGTGTTCAACATCCGCCTGGTGACAGACAGCACAGTGATACACGCTGCCGGGTTCAGAATTTCCTGGACAACAGGTTTGTGAGACCATCAGTGAAATCTTTTAATATATGTTATTACAACGAAATTGAGAACTGAAACGGGGACTGTATCAAAAAGTCAACAACTAGTATATTCCATTATTATATTCCATATTCACAGATTCAAATAAGGTTTTAAAAGAATTAGAGAATATAACAGTGCAAGGCATTCTCAAGGAAATACTGCCCTAAAAGTCAATTTTATTTAAGTGTAATTCAGTTATATATCATTGATGAATAAAGGCAACAGTAGTATACCGATGTTCAAAAGTCATAAATCGATTGATGAGTTTGTATATATATATGATGTAAAAAAATACTTTATTTTAGGGAACGACATATTTCAAAGGTCTGACGAAAGCAAACCAACTTATTTACAAAAATTGAAACCTCTAAACGAAGTTCTCTTATAATTTCCTTTAGTTACTCTCATGCTTCAGCTTACATACGTCATGGTATATGGGAATTGTTGTGTCGATTCGTTCATTCATCCTTGATATATACCTCTTCCTTACCAAAATATGGATTTGAATGAAACATTTTTTAAAACATAACATCTGACATATCTACAATGTTGTAAGCGTCTTATATCTGCAACTTTTATACAATTTACTAGATCTCAATACAACTTCTACAGAAAAATTCACAGACTGCACAATAAATGAAAATATCATTTTATGAATTTCATAACTCTTACAATGAATCGATATTTTTAGATGTTCCAGAAGTATTTAATGATGTTCAAATGTTGACAGCAACAAATTCAGTGCAACATTTAAAATCTCCACTTTATGATACTGGATATCTTCCGAAAGAGAATGTTTTCGAATGGAAAATAACTGCCAGTACGAAAAATATCATTACTATGGAGGTAAAATGTGTATTGTTGTTTGATGTTACAGGGATATTAAAGTTCATATTAATATATATTTTTCAAACCTGGCGGTTGCTGTTACTTTATCAAATCGTGGATGAAAGAAACACATAAATATTATCAACAGACGCAGAATTTACGTCGGATACGAGTCCGATCACTAGAACGAGATGAAAATGCCCTGATTTTATAAACTCGCGACGAGTTGTCATTAAATCTAAAAGATCGGAAAGTTCACATGCAGCACGGAAGTAAGCAATCATTTTCGGAAAATATGTGATGATTATGCCATTTAAACACACTTTAATCTAGAATACTTAAAAAAAATGCCATCTTCATCATGCTAACATACGGAATTAACTGAAATGTGCGGGGAAATCGTGAAAAAAATTGATAATTGTTATTTTACCTTTTAACTTTTTTATTCGAGCGTCACTGATTAATCTTTTGTAGACAAATTGTGCGTCTGGCGTACAAAATTATTAGCATGGTATCATTGATGAGTTGTTTTTTTTTATACCAAAATGAGATTGAATATCCCTTTAATATATGTAACAACTTTTTATTATATGGTCATTTTTATAAATTTACTGTTTGCAAAAGTATAAATTATTCGAAATACTAAGGATTTTCTTATCCCAGGCATAGATTACCGTAGCCATATTTGGCACAACGTTTTGGAATTTTGGGTCCTCAATGCTCTTCAACTTTATAGTTGTTTGGCTTTCTAACTATTTTGATCTGAGCCTCACTGATGAGTCTTTTGTATACGAAACGCGTCTGGCGTATCAAATTATAAGCCTGGTACCTTTGATAACTATTATTAACTTGTTTGGAAAAATAGGCCATCGAGAGCTGTTGCCATCAGTTATCATCCATTGAGACTTAAAACCCTTGTGACATTATTAAGCCTACAGTTAAGGCTAACACAAATAGCTTCCATTACTAAATTAAACGATTGAATAATTTAATTCTAAAATTCCCCAAAAATCTATGCAGGGACAAATTACATTTTAAATGCTGCAAAATCTAATAAAAATATCGGTTAAATGACCCAGATCCTCTTGAAACAAACAAATTGAAAAAAGAAAACAAAGAATAAAAATCAATTCAAAATTTTGAAAACTAATGTGAATGAAAGATTGCTTCAATACTTAAAAAATAATATATCTATAAAGAAGATATAATGGATAAAATATCAACAATAACACACACAATAAGACAAACTAAAGAAAAGGGACAACAATGAGAAAACATGAATTCGAATTTAAAACACATAATCTTTTCTTTCAACTTTGACTACAACTCATTCATCTAAACTTCGCGGCTACCAAATTATGTCCATTGTACTGTTGTGTCATATTTTGAAATTAATTTATGTTCATATATTATGTTGATATACATCCATCCATCTTTTAACGTTGTTACGTTGTTGGAGTGACTAGAAATAGGAGAGTGGTCAAAACAATCAATCTGGAGAAAAAAGTCTATCAAACTTTGTTTGAATGAAATACTTATTATGGCAATTAAAACAGTCTACCATATTAGTAGAAGGAGAAACGTTTACAAAATATTGATAAGTTTAAAAAAAACCATTTAAACGTTTTTTTCCGAGCAAATTGTCATGAAAATGACTGATTCATGATTTTTATAAAAATACATTCGATGACCTTTACTAAAGTTGACTAAGTGTTGAATTTAATTTTTGGCTCAGATCAATATTAAGAACCTTTTGGTCAAAGTTTTCCTGAATTTAGTTCCACGGTTTTTCTTCATCAAATGCATAAGCCCATTGCTCTTTCAAACAGAAAAGAATAAATGATTAAAAAAAGCAGTTCAAAATCAATTAGTTTTATGAAATCAAGTAATGAACAATTAACAATTTAGCGTGAAGCACTCCCGTAACGGTTATTTGATGAGTGTCGTCATCTTTTTTATTTCAAAAATGATCAGTTTCTACCATCAAACGTTCACCGTATCTACATTTAAAATTGAATCATTCGAGGTATTGATCATTCGATGACTGTAAAATATTGCTAAAATAAGATAATATACAAACCCCCTCAAAACGAAGCAAAACAAAATACCACAACAACCCCTTAAAACCATAAAAAATAACCAAACAAAACAAAACATAACCGGCAATGCGAAGTAAAAAAGTGAGTGGTCAACGGGTCTATTTTATCTCTGTATCTGTGATACCTTCTGTCTTAACTGATTCTTTTCCGTTTTACTTTCCTTACAAAAATCCATATTAATTTACTTGTAAAATCTTTCCTGCTACATAAGCAAAATATTTGTTTTTACAGTTTAAGAATTTGGATATAGGAAAAGATGCAAAGCTGTACTTGTGGGATCAGGATGATATCTCATTGACCCCAACCTTGGAGGGTGTCAGTGCCTTCAAACCAAAACATTACATCTCTAAATCTAAGTCCATTAGATTGATGTTGATCTCTGGAAGAGAAGGAGCCTCATTTCCTAAAGGAATATATATCAAATACTGGGAAGGTTTGCAAGATAAATTGTATTTCAAGTACAGAATATGTTTGTATTGATATTTGAAAGTCATAAAATCCTTTGAATTTCACAAAAAAATGTTTTTATATACCGAATGGCTCATTTGTATTGTAAAAAAGGGTACTTATACTTTTTTAAAAGGGAAAATCCAATATATTGCCAAAATCTAAAGGAAGTTTGTTTACTGCTATTGAACCACTATCTTCCATTACTGAAATTCGTCGACAGGGTTCCCGTATGCAGTGACCTCATTGAGGCGACAGTTGTTTATGGATGTTCAAATCTTGTAAATAGATTTAAGAGGAGACAAATTAAGGTATCAAACAAAAACTGAGGGAATTGTATGAACCCCAAATGACACAAAGTTTTATAAAGAAATAGGAACCCGTGGAAAATAAAATAAAAAACCCAATATCAAATAGCTCTATTATCAATTCTTATATCTATTTTTTGGTGTCGATACTTAATCATGATAAGCATCGTTATACGTCGGTATATGAACCCTGAACGTTTATTAAAAGCCATTGTTTTCCATCAGCACACACTGAATGAATTTGTTTGTCGATTAAACGTTATGGATTCGTAATAAATGAAAAAAAAGCAGGCAAAGAGGATTTATTTAAGGATATATGCATGTCTTGATTAAAAAATGTTTTGAACATTGTAATCACTAAAATCTCGTTGTATATGACTTTAAATGCAAAAGCCATAGAAACCTTAAGTGTGGAGTTATAGATCATTTAAGTATAAATATTCCAATAAAAAGTCTTGATAAACTGACTTTCTGGAGGTAAATTAAACCTTTTTGTTTCGAATAATTTACGTATGTAATAAGCATAAAAAATAGTTGCTCTCTGTAATTACTGATTATGAATGATTCCAAACATGCATTTAGTTCAGTTGAACACATAGAGGTTTGCGCTCACACAAACATTTCAGTAGACAAAGGACTAATTGTCTTGTTGATATACTGAGTAAAAATATATTCTAGATCATGCTCCATATGTGGCACCAGCTGTGTTGCTCATGGTTATTACAAATTTGGTGAAAAGTCTAAAGTGATGTCACAATCGTGAACGAGATTGGAACATATTCATGGTCATCTGGGACACAGATATTCAATGACAACTAGTGATGGCATCCGTCAAACTTTTGAAAGATAATTAAATGTGTGCATTATTAGTTATTGTTGAACAATAACAGAAAAAAAATCGCGTGGTTTGTTTATTGGCATTTTGGATATGCTGCGAATTCTAATATGGTTTAAAGAATCGCAAGATATAATTGATACAATTCGTTTCTTGTTGCATTTAACATGTTTAAATGGCAATAAAAAATTGAAAAGATTCGGAATTGATATTTCACGAATGATGTTATATATATTTGATATAACAGTAAATACTCTTGAATTTTGTAGGGTGTAAAATAAATGACATGACAACAGAAGGAACCATCCAGTCTCCAGGGTATTTTGCTCAAAGTTACCCAGAAAATATTGAGTGCACGTGGACTATACAACGCCCAACAGTAGAAACAAGGACAATGACTCTCAGATTTAATAAGTTTGATATCCAGGAAGAGGGAGATTACTTAAAGGTTAAGATTTATGTTTAAATTTGACTTTTTATGCCCAACCTACGATAGTAGAGGGGCATTATGTTTTTCGGTCTAGCGTCCTTCCGTCCGTCTGTCTGTCCGTCCGTTCTTTCGTCTGTCCCGCTTCTGGTTAATGTTTTTGGTAAAGGTAATTTTGGATGAAGCTGAAGTCCAATCAACTTGAAACTTAGTACACATGTTTCCTACGATATGATATTTCTAATTTTATTAGAGTGTTTACCCCAATTTCACGGTCCACTGAACATAGAAAATGATAGTGCGAGTGGGGCATCCGTGTACTATGGACACGTTTTGTTAATTAAACTTTTGATACAAGAAAATTCCACTTGAAGTATTTATCATTTAATGCATATAATTGTTGAATTTAAATTAATAAATATGTTGGTTAATGAGACATCTTCACAATAAGAGTCTTTAGCGTATTTTGCCTCAAGTCTTGCCTGCAAAAAAATAATGAAGAATTGATAAAACAGAAACTGACAATCATAAATCATCATTTAAAGTGTTTAAATGCTAAATTTCCAAAGCCGTCATTCCAGCTAAAACAATTTTCATTCATGGAAAATTAGTAAGAACGTTTATTCAAAGATACCTTATTTTATAATTTAGCTAGCTAGATTAAATCCTCGTCTACAGAAGAAATCCTACGCAGCACTTGGATCAAAAACAGTTGGCATGTCAAAATAAATGACGAAGTTGAAGGTCATAATCAAATCTCGTTAATAGATTAATGTCTAGTATAAAGATTAGAAAATTGATGGAAGTGAAGTAAAAAATTATCAGTTTAGTTGTGTAGCCTCTTGTTGTTACACAATGTATATAAACTCGTTTTTATACAATAAGTAAAAAAAAAATTCATAGCTCGGTCTATAATATATCGTGATGGTGGGCCAGAAGAGTCAATTCATGGACAACCAATTTTTTTCTAGGAAAAAAAAATCCTAGGTAACAAGATTTCAACAACAGAATTGTTATGTATTTTTCAGATATATAATGACACAAATAACGCATTACATACAGGTGAAGGATTCACAGGGACTACTGATCTGACAAACGATTTTGAGGTTAGATCAACTAATGGATATATCAAACTGGTATTTACTACAAACTATTATCTGACCGATAGTGGATTTGAAGCTGAATTTTCTTTAGGTACTTTAACTGATTTAACTCTAAATATATCTTGATCACTACTAACATTAAACTTCAGTTGTGGAGGTCAGTATTTCATTAAATATTTTCGGCTTAATGAACATTTAAACGATTGAAGTATATAAATTATATATATATATGATGGGATTTTCTACATCCAGATATAAGAAGATAGTAGCAGAGAGTAAAAATCTGGAGAAAGTTTATCAATTAAAGTGATATAATGCAACCTATATTATAAAAGTACATATATGTGTGTGTGTATGTGTATGTGTGTGTGTATGTGGGTTGATGTCTGTATGCGTGTTCAGAACTGATATTTTCGAATAAAGATCTTTTCTTATCACGAAATATGTTTTGGTTTGTAACGAAAAACAAGATCTAGTTAAACACAGTTAATGTTAATACGAATTGCATTGTAGGGTAGGTTTCTTTTTATTTTTGGCCATGACGTTGTCAGTTTGTTTTCGATCTATGAGTTTGACTGTCCCTCTGGTATCTTTCGTCCCTCTTTTACTGTTTACATCTATTAAGGAAGAATATATGTCAGAAAAAAATGCATCCATACATTGCAACACTTTTTTCACGGTGCCAGCAACTGATTTCATGCATTTAAGTTTAAAAAAATAGTCCTTATGCAGGCTGAACATGCTAAACGGATTGAGTTTAAATGATAGTTCTTAAGACATTTGTTTAGAGTAGCAAGTATATGTAGGAATAATAGTTCATAAATTGTATTTTGGGTTGAAAAATCAAGTGTTAAAAGAGAGATAGTTTAAAAAAAAAATTTCGAAATAATTTTATCCAGTATGGTTACTGATGTAAAGAAACTATTGATATTGTTACCTTTATCATGAAAAGAGTTTCTCCTTTACCAGTTGACTATCTGGTAGGTTGCTAAGACTCATGGTCATTATGTGATATTTGTTCCTTATTTTGCTTTATCTGTTGTACAGAGCTTTTCCTACCAAAATCGGAATCGTGGATAAAAATTCTCTGTTGTAGTAACTGTTAATAAAAATCCTTACTTTGTAAAAAAACGCACTAATTCCAAAAGACAAATACACAGACCATTCTGGTTTTTTTTTGTCAACAGCATGCAGTCGGTATTCAAACGGGTTTTAATTATGCACCCTACTGCCAGACTTGTGTTTGCAGATTTCTTTCAAAACCTTCTCAAAGACAAAAACGTGATGATTTCAACTTTACAATTGTCAACATCCAATTTCTCTGCAGAAACATACCATCTTCCGAAACGTATGACTAGAGCAACACGACGAGTGCCACGTGTGGAGCAGGATCTGTCTACTTACGCTTCCGGAGCACCTGAGATCACCCTCGGGGTTTTGTTTGGGTTCGTAATCTCAATCTCTTGTTTTCTATGTTGCGTTTTGTGTACTGTTGTTTGTCTTTTATCTTATTTTGCCATGGCGTTGTCAGTTTACTTTCAACTTATGGGTGTCCCTTTGGTATCGTTCGCTTCTCTTTCAAAATACGGACTATTGACTTTATTGGCGGAAACCGGCGGATCTCCTTACACAAAAACATTTCCGAAAAAGAGTTAAAAGAAGAAACGAGAAAAATCGACCGTCCGTAAGTTTTACAGTCATCAACACGAATTGGTTGACCAATACGATAAATCTGTGTCTCACCTTACAGTCTTAGATTTTGAAATACCGAATAATCTTCTAATCTGTAATTTTATCGAATATCTTATATTTTCCTTGATTTTGGAATCGCAAGCCGTGTGATACTGCATACCCTTGTCTATGATGAGTTTATTTTACAACCACTGCGTCGATGTCGCTGCTGGTGGAGTTTTCTCCCCGATGGTATCACCAGTTCACTAGTCAGCACTTCTGTGTTGACATGAATTATCATTGATATGGTCATAATTAGAAATTAACTTTAGAAAATTTAGGATTTCTCGAAATACTAAAGATGTTCTACCCCAGGAATTTATTACCTTAGCTGTATTTCGGAAAACGTTTAGAACTTATGGGACCGCAATGCTCTTCAACTTCGTACTTTATTTGTTTTTTTTTAACTTTTTTTTTATTCTAACATTATCTGGCCAAAGAATTTCTTAATGTGTAAAACTATTTAATCCTTTGTTTGAATATTTGTTAGCTCTATTCATAAAGGAAAAGGATCATATAATATTATGAATATGGACATTTGTTGAACAGAAAAGTCAATTCAGATGTCACAGTGTCGATACAAACTTTTTTTTTATCAAATTAAAGAGATTTGAAGCCATAATCAAATATACAAGAAAAATTCAAAAATGCAAGTCCTTATACCAGAAACACACATATTTTTGTCTCGTAAAGACCTGAAGGATGATTTTTCATGCTGTGCACTTATCATTTTGATATTTAAAAGGCAAAACAGTAACTGTATCATACAATCTCCCTTTTAATCGACTCAATTTTCTCAAGATTGATAACGTATGAATATTAATTTTTTTCTTGAAGAAGAGTTTTTCTGATTGGCTTAAGAGTCGATAACAGATTGAGGAGTTAATCGGTAACTTTATAAATTTTTGTGTGTGCTTGATATCCTTAAGCTTGTTTTGTTTTTTCAGACTGCCACAATTTCGCTGTATCTCCAGAAACACATCTTAATTCACAGTCAAATTATAAAACAAGTTTCGGGAATATTGTTGATTTTAGTTGTGATCACGGACACTCGTTTGTGAATAGAGGTCCTTATGAGAACATTTCTATCAAATGTCAGAAAGGAGGAGAATGGAATGCACCAAGAATACCTAACTGCATAAGTAAGAAATAAACAAAAATCAAGATTTATTAACTGATAGTTATCAATGATTTTTTAAAGATATATTTCAATATCCAAAGCGCTTTACTGGATTTACATTAGTCATGTTAATCAGGAACGCTTAAATCAAAACATTTAAAAGCCAAGGACGTATAAATACCTGAATATGTGAGGAGCCATATGACAAAAAGGTATTTAGAAAATAAGTCAAATAATCTAAGGTCAATATTGCCTGGTTCGTACTTAAGTTTCTTAACAATTTTAAAATCTATCAACGGAAAATATTAAGGTAAGTTTGTTAGAAATCTTGTCATTCCCGAAGCACTAACTATCGAAGTAATTTTTATACTCAATTAGTAAATGTTAAAAGAAGGAATATTTGGAACATCTGTTTAATATTATACTATTATGAATATGCTGGAATCTTTTAGTTTTACTTCTTTTGGTCCAAATATTTCATTAAAAAAGACAGTTTAACGGTAACAGTTCGGTACTATGATAAACAAAACACATACAATATTAAAATTATCAAAACAATATCTTCAGATCAAATGATCTAAATTATTTTTTCCCTGAAATAAGAAAGAAGTCATTTACTGTTCACTTTTATACAGTTTTCATGCTGGTCTTGAATCACGGATTGAACATTGCCCAAGACATCTGTTATCGATTGTAGCATATTCAATATATTACAGATACCTATTGTCCAATTCCCCAAAGAGTAAATAACGGATACATTATTGAGTCATCTGGTGTTAAGGTTGGCAATAATGTTACATACCAATGTAATGATGGATTTACTATGAACGGGGAACCAGTCATTAAATGTCTACAAGACGGAAGCTGGGAAGAAACACCAAGATGTACAGGTAAACAAAAAATATCTTATGAAACAATTTTTTTTCCACAGAAGAATTGTTTCAGTGCAGTACGTGTGATAGCAATTTTCCTGTCGTTACAGCAAATATCTCAAAATTCTTAAAATGTCCTGTACCAAGTCAGGAATATGGCAGTTGTTATCAAATAGTCCGTTTCTTTGTATGTTGGCGCTTGTTTTTGTAGAAGTTCAGTGTTTCTGTTGTTCCGTTGTTTCCCTCTTTTAGTTGATGTGTTTCCCTCGGTTTTGGTTTGTGACCCGGATTTATTTCAGTTAAATCGATTTATGACTATTGAACAGCGGTAAACTACTGTTGCCTTTCCTTATAAGACATTCCAATTATGCTGTCACAAAAGATTGTTGTATATCTTATCAATATGTCAAGTGTATTTAAGTATAAAATCAAGTTTTTAATTACCTCATTTAACGACATGGTGTTGATGCATTTTTTCGCAAAATATATATGCATCGTCAACGTTATTTAATTTTGTTAGTGGTTTGGAAGGAAAGAAACAATGAGAAACAAGCTCATCTTTACTCTACATTAACCTATGACACAAACTGATCATGAGTTTCACTGAAATGCAACCTTTTCTCCCTTTAAATTTTTATAATGAAATTAAAATAAAACCAAATTATATTCAAAGTACGAAACATTGAACTAGTATTCATTACTGTTTAGGGGTTAGCTGAAGCGTGAAGGGTGCGAGATTTTCTTGCTGCGTTGAAGACTCATTGGTGGCCTTGGGCTGTTTTCTGCTATTTGGTCGGGTTGCTGTCTCTTTGACACATTCCTCGGTTCCATTCGAAATTCTATATTCAGAATAGAAATCTTGATTTGAAATGTAGGTTAAAAGATACATTAATTATGCACAATTCTATGAAAATTTCGAAGTTAAAATCGACAAAAGATTATGACAGAAAAAATTCATTGATAAAATTATGTGTGCCATTAGCCAATCAGCGTTTTACACATTTTATTGATTACTTCTGAATGTTTTCCTTCTAAGACAAATGTAATCGTTATGTATGAGAACTGCTTTTGCAACGGTTAGATTTTGCTGCATCCCAGATATATATCGCCGTAGTCGTATATGACAAAACTTTTCACAATTGTTAATTTGTAAAGCTATACAACTAAGTATTTGATTTTGCCTTAATATGTGTCTTATGTAGGCGAAACGCTTGTGTTTAAAACAACTGAGTCAATACCACTGCTGGTTGATTTTTCGTCCCCGAGGTAATCACCAGCCAAGTAGGCAGTGCCATTGTGTTCGCATAGCATATCATTAATAATTTTCTACAATTTTACTAAATACAGAAGGTTGAATTTTTCGAAATATTAAATTTCTCGCTAAACCTGGTATCTTTGAGTAGTTTTAGATCTCTGAGTAAATTGTTAGATATTTATCTTATCTTTGAAGATCGAACAGAAACTATAAAGACATAATCCGAAATGTTCGTGACTCTTTCGTCTTGTCCCCAACAAACGTGTATCCTTCTTCCAGAGATAAAAATAAACTCTTTAAAGAACCAGGCACATACTTTAGTACGCCGAACGCTCGTTTCGTTTACATAAAACACATCAGTATAAGGAATCATAATGATCAGAATATGGGTTCTCGTCAGTTGTATAAATATGTTTACTCATTAAGAGAATGTTGAGTTATGCAAATGCTTTGCTCTATCCTTGAAATAAAAATGTCACTTTTGTAGAAAAGGAGTAATATATTGTAGAGCCGCATTTATCTAAATTTGGGCTTATTTTGACATTATAGAAGGCCCCTTGATTTCATTTCCATTAAGTTGCAGTCTAATTGATGTATACCCGACATCTTCGTTTGGTAATATGTATTGATGCAATCATGGATTTATTTATTTTATAAGCTGCTAGGTGTTCTGCTCTTTCGACTCCTCGTAATGGTGACATAGAAATACTGACTGGAGATGGGAGAGACTTTGCCTCTGTTGTCCAGTATGTTTGCGATCCTGGTTATGAGACGTATGGAAATGTAACAACATACTGTCAGACTAGTGGAAAGTGGTCACATGTTCCTCCTTCTTGTGAAAGTAAGTCGTCATCTACTGGCAAAGTACCTTGGACCTTCTCGTAAAGTAATGCAGTATTAGGAATTATCTTCAAGTTGGATCATCAGTATGGATTTCCTCAGATAGGATTTTCCAATACCTTGCCAAAATGTAGAATTAACCAAGCTTTTTTTCCAAAAAATAATGAAAAGTATGGATCACCGTGCTATTTTACGAGTTTTGCAAAATTGCCAAACAAAATCTGCATAGATTGTTTATGAAAAAACACTTTTTTGTGAATAAAAAAGAATATATATTATAGATAGAATTTTGAAATAAGTATGAGAAGTGAGAAGATGAGAAGATAGGTTTTGTTATATGCTTTAAGAAAATAAAAAGAAAAAATGGTGTGACCAAACTTGTTTTCTTGCTAAAATTAAATAATGAAAATTTATTATTAGCGTGTTCGGAATGAAGATATGAAATGTGGCATGGAAAAGATGTATTTTCCCTTTTTTACTGTTAGCGAAACTATACTACACATATTCAGAAGAATTCTGTTACTTCGTAGTTACCCTTGTTATTATCTTTTATATAACCTTTTGACTTTTCATTTAATACTGTTTGTACACATTAAAAAAAAACATGTATCGATTCTTATGGTAAATTTATTCACCAAATATAGTCTGGCCTGTTCGTAAGGCTTTGACAGTGATTTACAGTGCATCCGATGTGACATACAGACCTCACAGAACCACATGAGCAATGTTACCCAAGACATAGACATAGTTAGTGCAATCAAACAATCAAACCCAAGAAGAAGTTCACAATACGAATCATATACATATCCAACTATTAATATTTATAAAATGCCTACCTACGTCTTAAAAATTTGAGTCGATTCTTATTGTACCAAGCACATCACTAAGGTTAACTATGCTACGTATGAATAAACAATTCTACGCATGAATCCATTTCAAAGCATTTGTATTTTGAGAAATTCAACACTTACATCTAGTTTCGGTTTTGGTATATAACATCTGCAACGTAATTGTATCCCTTTTTAAAGCACGTTTAGTATGACGCACTGTTTTTCTATATGTAAACAATACTGTTTTCTACATGACACAACTATTTTTCACATATCCATACAACACATTTTTATGTTGTTTCTCCTTTATATTGTAATCCTATTTGAATGCATGATTTGTTGGCTAAAAGCAATTTTATGAACTATTCTTTAACATTTATGCAAAACTTGTCCTTCTGTTTGTTTGTTAATTTTCATTATTTTGAAGATTAAATTCAATCGGAATTTTTTATGCCTGTTCTCCACTTCCCATTTAGTATATTTACTGCTAAATGGACTTGTTAAAAGATGCAACGTCTTCCCCTAAATGCAGAATACAACAATAAAATTTCCCGTTCAAAAAATAACGTAATAATGGAAAATAATGAATGATTAAAACTCAAATATATATGTAAGTCTTTTACGATATATGGTTGTTAATTAGATGTAACTCTCCTTTGATGATGTTATAGAAAATTTCTGGAAACATTTAAACTGCATAAATCATAAAAAATTTGAGGATTTAGATTTTTTCAGTTTTCCTGTTGTGCAAATATAAGGAAATGAGGAAAACGTTTTTAAATCGCACAAAAGAGGTATCTAAAATGATTATAAGTAATTTATCCACAGCATTCCTAAAATGTAGAAATATGTCTTGAAGAAATAATTGTCGGTAATATTGGTCAAATTTCTATTTTCTCATGGATCAGCATTTTTTAAAGTATGCTATAGGTAACTTTCATCCGTTATTCACAAAGGAAGCAAGAACATTAAACAATTTTAACATCTTGCTTTGTTGCCTTTATTTGTCACTTTTAAATCGATTTGCGAGATTTGGACATTTTTTAGCACCTTTATTTGGTCAGACAACATTTGTGAGCTAACAGCAGCTGTTAATTTTTATTACTCCGACACCAAAATATACTTACATTGTAATAAAACATTAAAAGGAAAAGTTTTAAAAGTAAAGCTTATCTAACGTTGTCACTTATAGAGCAAATTATGCCTACCCTTCTTAACACATGAGTTTAACCCATGTTTTGGCGAGATTCGTGTTGTTCGGAATAGTTTTCTTTGCAGTGTGTTTTCTAAACTCTTGTTTGTCGTTAAATCGTTTTTCTTGATGTCCTTTACTTGGTTGTCTGTTTTAGCCTACTTATGAATATAAATTGTCCGGGCCCCTTGGTATCAAAAGCCTTTAGTTTCATAAGTTTTTAATGTTTACCTTATTTTTTCAGAAATATGGTGTCCAATACCTAGAACCCTAAATGGAAGTATGTACCCCTCAGGTGCACAGCAATATGAGGGGACAATTACTTTAATTTGTGACAGAGGATTTGGCATTAATGGGACAAACATGCGAGAGGTGGTTTTGAAGTGTGAGAGTGGTGGAAAATTTTTACCGGATGTAACATGTTATGGTATGTTATCGACCTCTGTTATGCTATATGTTATCAGGATAAAATTTAATCTTACTTTTAGTCTCGCTATCTTATTCGTAATAATGCAAATATGCAGTTCTACTTTTGTTAGACTTCACTAAATGTGCCATGTGTCATCTTAAGAAAATGTAACTAAAAATAACAGACAAAAAACAAATTAAGGCTACTTCCGATGCGCTTATTATGTTTTGTCACATTTTGCCTGACCCGATTTTATGATTTATAGACAGGCGTGAAAATAAGAGTAATTGACCGATTTGTAAAAAAAACACATACTTCTTCATTCTCATGGCTATCTTTTGACAATATGATTTTGATTTACAAGGTATTTTAACATAGTTCATGTGTGTCTTGCGCTATCCATCAATAAGTTCTACAAAATTAACTTCCACTAAAATGAGTTGACTCACAAGTTTACTTCCACTCGTTACACATATATAAAAAACTATCATATTAATGCTAAGTATATTATAAATTATATTACCACCATTGTTCCAGTGGTTTATTTTGTAGCAACTTACAATATAGAAAAAAATCTGTGATATAACATGCAGCTTGCATAACACGCCTCTAAGAAGAAAAGTTAATATGAAAATAAATATGCTAGTAAATAAAAAGCCGTTACATTTCTGTTTCTGTCCTCCAAATCGGAGCAGTAACCCTTTGTGATTTTCCTTTTCTTCGGAACTTTTCATTTTACTACAGAAAGGAGCATACAATTAATTATTAATGTGTAGCTGATTTGTAAACAATCAGGATTAGTCATACTTTAAATTGGATACCATGTTACATGTATTTGATTTATGGATGCTCTCATGTTACTCAATTGTTTTGTGTAGCCTAGAGACCACTGATTTTGAAGTTAAGAATAATCAAATAAATTCTAAATTTGACTTCCTAGATAGATGTGTGCATTTTTCAATTTCGATCTCTGAGAATTTGTTTGAATTGCGTAGTGCTGAGTTTTGAGCAATGTATTTTTTTCGTTTCTGGTGTTTGTCTCATGAACGAACATTGAATCTTAAATTCATATTCAACACACGATTTGATTCAACAGGGAAAAAAGTATTCAAAGACAACTCGCATAATAAATAATAAGACATTTCTTTCTTCGTCGTTTTCAGATATAAATTTTGAAATTTTTTATAAACTTTAACATTAAACGGCATTAATAAAATGCCTAGTAGCACGACAACAATCGGCGAAGTTTCCGTATTTCAGTTAATATTTTTAACAAAATTAATACTAGTATGGATTTCAATATTACTTTTTAAATCATTAATACCCTCAATTTGTTTTTTTCTGATTAACCAGGTAATTTACTGTTCAGGCCTCAATCATGAAACAAACGACGTTGGATGTTTCAGCTTATGTACATAACTTGTCACTTTGTCAAACGGATTTTTGAGTAATGTCATTACAAAATGTAAAAATCAGTTAACAGGCATTGGAAAAATATTTACTTTGTCGTGATTCAGGGGTAAAACCTGTTATTTCAATAATAACCTTTTCTCAGTCATGATACATTATTGACAATTGAGATTTCTTAATTTCCTTCAAAGTAGTCCTATCTTTATTTCAATTCATTTTACCTAGCAAAAAGTACATGGGAAGAAATGCTCAAACATTTAAACTTTCTTATCCTTAACTTTTATGTTCTTTAGTTGCGAATGACGGATATGTAACAGTGATCGTCAATGTATAAATTGTTCTAGGAAAGGCTGTCAAATATTGTGTTAAAAATCGTTACCAGACGCCGAAAATATGTAATAATATCAACAGGCTGAACTCATCAGTATAGTACATGTTGATTTATCCATATTAGGGCTGAATTGATCATTCATTTAATTGTCTTCTCATAATAAGTTATAGTTCAAGTTGGTTAAGTTGAGCAATAATGCAGAACAAGTTGCCCCTTTGCAAAACAAATTAATGTTCTTTACAGTATGTTAATTTATTGGGTAGAGTAGGTATATTTTATATATACTAATATTTAACATGTATAACAAGAAGTTGTAAATCAAGTTAAAATTTCGTTCCTGTTACGCAATTGAATAGAAAGTTATGGACCTTTTGGAAAGACAATGACTTGAAAATGATCTATTGCAAATAAATCTGTCATTTGTCTTGCAAAACTTTCCTTTTATGCTTAACATAAGTATAATTTACATGATATAAAGTAGTTTGGAGGAGTTAATTCTGTGCATTTCATCTTATTTAGATTTCCAGTATTTTTTTTAAACATGGGAGATAACTGTATAATAAGCCTCAAGTGCACAAGCAATTACCTTTTTGTTTGTAAAGCATACCGTTTCTCTATGTGTGCTCTTTTTAATATGTTATTGTTTATGTTGTGATCTAAGATGGTCAAATGTTATGACTGGAATTAACTTACTAACACTAAATTGAGTAATAAAATATAAATTTCTCTTTTGGACAATTAGTCAGATAAATAATGATACCAATTTTGTAATGTTTGGATATGATTGTTAAATTCCGAACTTAATCAATTTTCAGACGTGTCAGGTATTAAAAGCACGACGAAATTAAAATATGATTTTGAATTTTTTAATACGAAAAGTCACTTTTTAATAAAAGTGGTAACCGGATCATAATAAGAACTTATAAAGATTATTCTTATTATTTCAGGTAACGCAGGGCATCAATTGATATGCCCTCTTAATAAAACAATATACATAAAGACTGCAGCTGGTGAAGTCTTCAATGTTAGTGATGTTGTGTCAGTTACACCTTCAGATTCTGAGTTTATATTTAGTCCTTCAGAATTAATAACATTTGATCATACAACAATGGTAGAGCAGAAAAAAGTAGTTGTCACTGCAAGTGATAAGTGGGGAGCCGAGAATCAATGTTCATTTTTGGTAGAAACTAAAGGTAAAGCATAGTTTAAATGACTCTCTGCACCAATCAAAGAAAATAATTCATTAGTTGTTATACCCCACGCAACAACATTTTCCTAATTTTTTTTTCATCATAATAAGGCCTTCATTTCTTATCAAATCCTCTTCAAATTTGTATGAAAAAGAGGGACGAAAGATACCAAAGGGACATTCAAACTCATAAGTCGAAATTAAACTGACAACGCCATGGCTAAAAAAGAAAAAGACAAACAGACAAACACTTATACACAAAACACAACATAGAAAACTATAAAGATTGAGCAACACGAACCACACCAAAAACTTGGGGTGATATCAGGTGCTCCGGAAGGTAAGCTGATTCTGCTCCATATGTGGCACCCGTCGTGTTGCTCATGTTAGTACAAACCCGGTAATAAGTCTAATTCAGTAGGTCACATTTGCGAAAAGAGGACGGGATTGCAGTTACGACATTAGGAACATAGTCGCTATCATCTGTGAAACGGATATTCCGTAACGGTCAACCAACAATAAAATTTACGAAGGGATGATTTCAACTTCACCACTTGGAATTCTTGGTTTAATAGCTTCCTCGTGAGCAGCAAGGTACATTGGATGAGTTCCATAATCTATAATCTGGAATTGGAACATTTTTTTTGCATGGAGAGAGAGGGGGGGGGGGGGGTGTAAAAATATTTCATATTATTCAGGTGTCCAAGATAATGTCCTTTTAGAATCTCTCTTTTAAATGAAGGTTTCCATTCATCAAAACAGACTTTTTTCTAAACGTCTTCACATATTGAGATGATTTTTAGTATGTGAATCTACTATGATGAGTGACAGATCGAGTTTACGTTACCTTCCGCTTCCGCTCTGCTGATTTTATCAACCTTTCATTATCAAATTTTAACTCTTAAATATGGCTTCAATAGATATAAGAAGTACGGCCTTCAACACGGAGCCTTGGCTCACACCGAACAGCAAGCTATAAAGGGTAGGTGATATCTTTCAACCACGCATAATGTTGTTGTGCCTGTTGGGATATATTTGAAGGTGAATAATATTAAATAAACTCCTTAATTTTTAGTCAAAGGGCGGTTTTGAGCTTAATATTCCGTATAGGCATCTTTCTATAATTATAAAAGACTGTATGCTGACTCTAAATGTTTTGATTTGTCTGTTTCATTGGGTTGCTGTCTCATTAATGTTTATTTCCTTTTATTCAAACCCAAAGGATTGACTTTGGTATAGAAATAATGACATCTCTGGACTTATACCAGATAAAGAAAAACTTGATACAGCAAATTGTGTTACCTAGACAAGACTTCCATCGTTGTTCGCTTCTATATATGAGTTAATTATTGCCACTCAATGACAATTTTTTTTTTGTTCTACTCCCCTCCCCCTTGAATAAGATACAATGTAAACCCTGATGTGGACTACGTAATGTAATAAATAAATAAAACAAAAGAAAAGGGAGAAATGAAAACAAAAATGCTAGAAGTTACATTAAATGCAGATCTTCTTGCTTTTGGTGAAAACAATCTAAAATAAAATGAAACAAAAAAAATAATAAAACATCCAAAGTTCTTACATGATTTAATTATGATTCCATTCTTGAGCTTCAAACACCATATTGATAATCAAACTCATTATCTGCCTCCCGCTTACCCTTCGACATTTTAATTTTAGCACAAATTGAAAATCCGAAACAAAGTTACCGATTTATGATGTTGTATGTAATATTCACCTGAAAGTTGCGTTACCATCATAAACATTTTATTTCAGATAAATTGAATCGATCGTTTTGATTTATAATTTACCAAAAATATGTATCGTATTTATTGTATGTAGGATCCCCTATTATAGACGTTTTATTTAACCTATCCATGTAATTGCAAATTCAAAGATTTCGTATGTACTGAAGATTAACTCGCAACTTGAGCTATCACCCCTTTTCTCCACGGAAAACAAAACGAAATGACTGAACAAGCAATAAAGGCTTTTAAAAGAAAATGAAATAGGCACTCATTTTGTAAATAAATTCCTTTTGGAGTCAAAATTTCCCGGTTTCGGACAGATTTAAATTTCCACTTAATTTCCGATCCTAATTTGGGCCTCATGATTTTAAGGGGTCGTGTCTAATTGGTCATGCCCGATTAACTTTTAGTAAATAGAACCATTACTTAAAGTCCTACACCGGGTTTATAAGAACAATGAGTAAACAAAAGAGATCCTTTATAAAATGAGATCGTCACAGGTATCGTATATAGTAATTTTGCGTTGAATAACAATGAAAAATACCCGAAAAGGTGTGTAACATAATAAATGGTCTCTGATTTCCTCAAGTACGATGCGCTGAGTAGCATTTACACATTAAAAAAACAGAAATTGGTAAAAAAACATTTCATGTTCACGATATGATGAACCGCTTTACTCTACTAATCATGCAATGGTTTACTCCTGTTTTGCCAACATTTAATTATACCAATTATCTATTAGTAAAGAAAACAAAAAAGACTAAAGGTTTAATGAGCATACAATTGTATAGTCTATTCCAACTTTATAGGTAGATAGTTTATCTGTGTTTTCTACATATTCAGATATTTTTCATTTTGTAGATAAAAAAAAAAAATTATATATCAAATATTTTTTTCACAATAATTTAATGATTATGGTATAAATACACCAATATATGGTAAAGTTTTCTTTAATTGCAAACATATTTTTTTAACTTATGAATCAAATATATTTTTCAAAATATTATATGTATTTCAAAAGTAACAAAACATTTATATATTAACAAAGTCACAAACAAACATTTTATTTACAAAGTCACTACAGGTAAGTCACAAATTACAATATTTCAAAAAGTCATTCAGTTCAAATGCAGAAGATGGGATGCTGCGACATAGTAGTATATCACGAAGATGTGTCCATTAGTATCTGTCTTTCAGTAGTTGAAGGCTGGCATCTATAACTTTGTATCGTCGTCGTTTTGGTGGGCAGGCTCCTCCTGCGGCATACTGGATAATGGTACATTCTGTTAATGCGTGAGTCCTCTTTAGTAACTCGATGATCTCCTAGATGTTGAGGAAGGCATGGTAGGGTCTCTTCATTCACTTCTTAATTTTATTGGGCCAACCTTCCAGGGGGTTGGTGATGTTTGTCCTTCGGTAAAGTAGTGGTTCCACAAAAAGCGATATCCTTCAACCTAAGACTCTGTCATATAATCAGTAAATGATGTTGTAGCGGGTATGTTGTCAGCTTCACCAATGCCTTCTAAAGTTGTAAGCCAAACATCCTCAACAAGGTAGAGTGGAATAAGAGATAATACTGCGGCTTGTCGTTTAAGTCGAGTAATGTCTTCCTTTTTTTTTATAGTATGACTTTAATCCATATTTCTGTGCCTTTCGCCAAATACACTAGGTAAAGTGGAAGAAGCAGCCATTCACGGTTACCCCTGGGAACACTGTCCTTGTTGCGTTGTTGGTTTCTGTCTCGTAATCGATAAATACTGTTTCATGTTGAAGTTGTAACTGATGTAGTTGAGCGATGTAACGTATGTGAATGAAGAAGCGTGAGTTGATGATCTCCTGTTTTCCTGGCAGTAGAACATACACTAGTGGGAACATAGAACTTATTATAAATTGAAAATAGTGCTAGCTGGATGCAGATTGCTTTTCAAATTATGTTATTTGTAAAGCTTGGCTACTGAACAGTTGCATTTATATTTTATATTTTATTTTTTAGAATTAATTGGGTTTTTTATTTTAAATTTCAGAACAAAATATTTGTCAATATTAAAAAGTATAAAAGGTGAAAAAAAATATTGAAATGTTTCATTATTTTACTTTTTCATAAGCCAAGAATATAGCAACAATTTAAAAAATTTGTCGATAATTTGTCAAAATAATAAATATTTTTTGATATTTTTGTTAAATATTTGTCAAATTCAATACATTTTCTGTTAAATTTATAAAATACTTTTGCATATTTTCTTTGATTTAATAGTAGAATTAAGTATCTTTTATAATATTTACAGGTAAAGTAAAGGTAAAAAATATGACTATAATTCAGAAATAAACTATCATTGTTAAAACAACAAAACACCCTATGTTTTTATAAACCTGCAATCAAATGTGGACAAACTAGGATGACACTCCTGCAATTGATGTCTCGCTTGCGACAAAAGACGCAAAAAGGTATTACTATCTGGCGAATGCGGCGGCAACGGCGATGGCGTAAACTATTTGTATAAAGGTTTATAGTTCAGAAACTAGAAGACCTGGATGCTTCATACCTTGCATGCGGATACCTTATGTTACGATACGAAGTCTCTGTCTGTCATATGTTCATTGCCCTTGGCCTTATTTCATGGTTCAGTGACTGCTTGAAAAAAAAACCTTTTTTTTTTTTAAAGTGAAATACTTTCTTATTATGAGCTATAGGATAACTATATTTGGTTAATACAGCGTATTATTTCAAAATAGTTTAATTTAGAGAATTCCTTTATATCACGAAAAGGATAAGGTCCGGTAAGGGTTAATTTTGGCCATAAAATTAAAGTACGCAATTAATGTTAATATATAACTGTACCACTAGGTGCACATTGTTTAGGGCTGTTTTATGAAAACATTCTTGAGACCAAGGGAAGACAGTTTTATTTAATCTCACTTATGGGTCAGGTGGTTATCCCATGTATGTCTTAATGGAATAATCTTCAACAATTGTTTTAAAAGCTATGGTATCAATCTGCAAGTGTGAGTCTTATAGATGTATTCACATATTGACTCGTGTGAAAGCCTGTAAGACAATGTAAAACATTTAAAAAGTTTACAATTAAGCTACAAACCAATCATTTAAATCTTGAATTTTTTTTCTCTAGCTGTTGCATGTTTTAGAGAGTCTTTCCCAGTAAGTGTGCTAAATGCTACACCTCTGTTTTGTACTTCTGGCAACATTAGCTGCACAGTTACATGTAATAGTGGATTTGTGTTTTATGACGGAAACACAACAAAGAAATATGCCTGCACAGGACGAAATATGTGGCTTCCAGCTTTACCTCCTGATACATGCATAAGTATGTTTAAAGTAGATAGATACCTCAGATATAGTTCATTTAGAAACCAGTGAAAAGAGTGAAATTTCCCGTTTTTAGAATTACATGGTTTTTGTCTCACCTGCGACTGTGATACATAGGATAAAAGTTTAAGTTTGAGGTAGTTTCTGCCTATATGAAACTTGAAGAGCATTTTGAACAAATGTAAACTTTTGCACTTTCCATGTTTGTAGCTGATTACAATGTAGTTATTTACATGGCCCCTTAATGTACAATTTGGAAATAATCTGAAATTTGGATAACATGTTTTTATGCTAGAATTTTAACAAAATGTTGATATTTAGGTGGAATTGATTCTAAATACTTCTATAAATTTGTTTTTGTAAAATCATATTTTTTTGTTAAAAAGCACTAATTTTGAGAAGCATCTTTTTGTTTTCGAATTCCATAGAAAATTAAGCAATAGTTATAACTGCACTCCAGTTTCCACTTTTCAAAATTGTGGTAAAAATTATATTTGATAAAAAATCTCAAATGTTTAGAAACATTTGTTTTAGGGTTTCAGAGATAATCAATATTGAGGTATTGTATTCTATTAAAAAATTGATTTCTGGAGTCGAAAATCAATGTTTGGCGACATTTTTTGAAATTACAGCAAAAATATATAGTATTTAGATTTTTACAAACCTATATTTATAGAGAGCATGTCCTGAAATAATTCCTGGTGTCTAAAAATTACTAAAAGTTGATATCCAATTATGTATTGCTTTGTTTACATCATTAAGGACTATTTGTTTCTGTATCTCAAACAAAAATGTGCAAGCAGAGCCCTTGCTGACACGACAGTTTCTGTTTCCTCTTATAATACCACTTCCCTTATTCAATATAAACAATATTCTTTAAGACAAACAGCTGGATACCATAAACATACTATGTATACACAGGCCAGAGTCTGAGCTTGATTTGCTATTTGACATAAAAACTAAACTGACGAAAAAAAGGTCATTTATTCAAAATCATAAAATGCAAAAAAAACATTTTGCAAATAAAACATTTGACATAAAAGTTCATATTTAATATGAAATAATAACACATAATTAATACGAAATTACATCAACTAATATCATATCAATTGAATAAATGACAAAGAATAGCAAAGGTGGGGAGAAAAATCTGCCCCACAAATAAACATATATACATATCTACTTCAAAAGATAACATTAAGGGAGGTATGTGGGTGGGAATTTTTAACAAATTATTTGATAAGAATCACAAGTTAACACATCGAATGCTGATGATAAAAGGAAGTGACCACAACGCACTTACACGTGAACTCGTGCTGACCCCGCAAGATCATTGACCAATAAGAAAGATGTAATCCAATCATGCACTGGTCATAAGTGAAATTTCTCTGCACGTGAAAACATATTATCTAATTTGAACAATTTATCGTTTGATTAAGTAGGACACTCTGACCCTTTGACCAGACTAGAGACATCATAAATTTACAGTATAAATAGCTCACTCTTTATTTAAGTCTTAGTAATAAACAATTAAAATAGAATTATCTTCTCTGCTGTCTTAAATTATTTTATTCAGCTTAATTTTCAATTAGCAAATAAAATTGGTTATCCATGTTTTTTTTTACTTCATCAAACTAGAAGACATGGATGTTGGTATCTTAACCTTTGGTGGTTTTGATCAGAATATGAGTAACATAAATTAAAAAATGAAAGACATCTCAACTTTGATTGAAAAGAAGTGAATATATCCTTTACATAAAATGTACTAGTAATTGACATTTCATATCTATTTCAGAGTATGATGAACCATCCTACATCATAGTACTTCAAGTGGTCTATAAAACTGATGGAAAATTTGCTAAAGACTGTAAATCAGGTCATGATGATAAAATCAAAACAAACAATGCATCATTTACAAATGACATTTACAACAGATGCAACATCCCTAATGTTGTATCTGTTGGTCCAGTAGTAATTACAAATACTGAAACTACTACTACAGGATTTGATGTAAGATATAGTTGTGTACATGTATATTTCATAATATGATACCCTTATCTCTTTAATGAAGAATATAACTTAATAAACTCTATATCTGGATTCTGGATTAATCAAATCCAAACAAAACAAATACTATCACAGGTTACAGTCAAATCAGTTGTCCTACAAGATCATTGATTTGGAGTCAGTGAGAAAAGTTAACATTATAGAAGTTGTTGACTCTTTTCACCAAAAAAAAAAAAAATATTTTTTTTTCATTTGAAAGAAAAAGGATATTACCCAATTTTCTTAACGTTTTAAGAACATCAATGTGTTAATGCCGTTTGCAAAAAAAAAAAATGGATTGCTAAGGCTCATCTTTATATGAAATTAGAGTACATTGAAATGGTTTGAAATAATAAAAATTCTCTTGAAAAAAATTTTGTTTATGCGGAAATTAACAAACTACTATTTTCTGTAGATTAAAAAAAAATAGATAAAGGTACTGACTATTAAAATGTTTTTGTTAATTGTATACAATTGATCTGTTGCACATTTTTAAAATAGCGAGTGCATCATTATTATGAAACAGGATGAACACAGATACACCTTAACCCTCTTGCTACCGGATGGACACATACGTCTAATGTTCATTACTGTTTCACTTTCAAATAAATCCTAAAAGCTTTAAAAATGTAATATTTTCTTTAATGGGTCTCCAATGCAACGTTATTAGGGCGTGCCGTCATATGTCGAATGACGTCATATTTGGGCATGTGACTTCACAGACGCCCAACTGCCGTATTGTCTGGCATGCGAAATGTAACAATATTGAATTAGCTGCAGCAAGATTGTTAAACAGCAAATTCTTTATGCAATTGTTCCAAATTCTCTGTTTTAATTTCTCAAACATATTTATATTTTTATCATTTAAAATACAAAATACTATTTTTTTGCTGCACTGCAACCAGATTTAAAAAAAAGTATTTTGTAGAAGGCATGCGTTGATTGCATTCTAAAGAATATGAAACAGTTTGGCTTGATTTGAATGTTAAGATCAATTTAGTTTCCCTTCAATCACATATAAAACTATAGTCTTACCTTGACTGAAGAGACATTAATTGTTGAACTGCGCAATTGGTACCGTTTATAATTTTTGACGAGTGACTATCAAAGGATTGTAGAATTAAGATTTTTAGAACATCAGCTGATCAGATGTATATATGTTTTTCAAAGGTGCGATTCTTGTTTTTCTCTCCGTTCATCGACAAATACTACTTAGTTTAAATTTGAAAGAACGGCATCGCAGCTGACAATTCTACTCAATTCCTGGGGGCAGCTATTTAAAAGCGAAAAGCCAGGCAGAATTGTAGTAAATCTAGTTTAGATAAACATTATTTAGAGAGAAAATTATACTTAGTTTGAACTGTTATGGTGTAGACCTGATGAATTCATAAATTAATGAAGGTTTTTCTAGTTAAAGGATGTTTATCTACCCTGAGATGATACGACATTTAGCTGAGAAACATCATCAAGTCCATTGATAATCTGTTTTGTCTAGGAAACATCAATGATGTAGGCTCATGACGTAATATATTCTCTTTCACAACGACAGAGAAAAAAAAACCATATCACTTGAGTTTTGTGATTGGAAAAAAACTCACAAAAAATAACCAAAGTAATATTTACGAAAATAGCGAAAAAGTTTTGTTATGTTTGGAAAAAAATATATCAAACGAAACAAAAGCCTTTGACCAAAGTCGAAAACAGGTCTACTAACCGCTTAACTCCGCCCATCCGTCCCAAACTTTCGTCAAAGGGAAAGGGATTTATTTAATATTTTTTTTACAGCTTGATAATGTTGAGTTGTAGCGAGTAAGCAACTTGTTTTTAATCTGCATTGAAGCCACTTCCTGTTTACCGATATTTGGAAATTTTACAACACTGATTGTACATGGAAAATTCTTGTCAAAGTTTTCTTGGCTTTAATGAAAGGAAATGATCCAGTCTTAAGTAACCTTAATCAATTGCATGCAGCGACGCAGGTCCAGACTTGGCATTGGTCTTGTTATTAAATGAGTTAAACGAGTGGGTGCGGTTAGTTTTATGGTCCAGTATTTTTGGTTTACTGTTATCCAAATTATCCCTTTTATGTATCTTCTTTTCCCTCAGAGCTACCAAGCTCTTTGTTAGAGTCATTTAACCAAAGTGAGTTTTATATGTGTTACCTGCGTCGCCGAAGGTCTGGTAATTGCTCGAGTCCGTCCGTCCGTCCGTTCGAAAGACTTTAGGTAGAACGACGAAAGTTTTCTTATATTTATTCAAGGGAATGTTAATATATTTGGTCAGCAGCTTTATGATGATGAGTTGTTGCGTGTAAGAAATTTTCACATCTGCCGTACTGCCATTTCCTGTTTAACGATAGTTTGAGATTTTTACAACACTAGTTGTAACATGAATGGTAATTTTTCCTTTGAACTTCAAGTGAGTTAACTTCAGTTAATTTTAGAGGGGTGCGTTAACTTAATATTTTTTTAGTTATTGCACTCTCAAGTCCCGCCGTGTGTCTCTTGTCATAGGAAAAGTAAAGAATGGGAGGAGCTTAGACCAGTGTTCTAACTTCCATATCAAGTTTGTTATTTCACTGTCTAGCTCCGCCTCTTTGACCTAGTAAAAACAAAAATCAATGACCATAAAATGTCCAAAAATAATTAACACGTTGTATATTCAGAAAGCTTGCTTTCCGATTCAATTGACTGTAACGCTTGCTATCCGATACGCGCAACGCTTTCTTTCAGATTTATGTTGACAAAGAAGCAGGAGATACGATTTGAGGATGGATGGTTCTTCAAACGCGTTGTTTGTTTTGTTCTCTCTTGTACCTCAAGGAACACTACAGCTATTTTAGTTGATAAAACTGTTATGCTTGTCAGTATATGAAAGTGTTTAATCAGGTCGTAAACGGTACCACAAACGCAACCATGTACACGATTGAACACAAGAATGCATTTCTTTTGTATGTAGTTGTTTAAAACATTTAAAGTAAGCCAGTTTACAAATCATTTATTTGCATTCCTTTCATTATTACTGTTCCATAACTTAAAATTCATTTAATCTAGTCATAAATACCCGTTGAAAAAAATCACAGGAAACGATGTCTTTCAGACTGTATATTTTCAGTGTCGTTCTGGGAAACGATTGCTTTTCGATTTTCAGATAGAACGATTTGTCGAACAGCAAATCACATGCAGATAATAAAATGTCTTTTTGTTTTATGTATATATGAAGTAACACCCTACGAGAGGGTCTGGATGAGGTTTACAAAATAGAGAATGAAAAATAAAGAATAGAGAAAAATAGTGTTTTGAAATATAAAGAACAGAAAATAATGGGAGAAATAAATAAAGAATTGAGAAAAATGGTATAAAATGTAATAATACAGAAACCGAAAGACCCCTTCGTAATCTTCATTGTGATCTATTCATGCGCGATACAGATGCATGGGTCAAGGGGTTCAAGCAAATAGAGATTGAAAAAAAAAACCAAATACATAACTGTTATTTCTATTCTAATGAATAAAAAAAAAACATTAATTAATGCATTAAATCTTGGAAAATGTATAAATTTACAATAAAATAACATTCCCCGAAAAATCATGAATGAGCTTGGCGCATTAACTTCAGGGGAAAACTTGACTTCATACGAATGAAAACTCTCAAGATGAATATTATTCCGTTTCTTCTACACTTCAAATTAAAATAATATCTCATTAAAATGAAGTTTTTGAGGTAGATGTTATTTCATTTTAGATTTGTTTGCATCAAACATGTTAAACGAACATTAATGGATTTCAGAAAGTCAATATGGCGGCTTACTCCTTAGTTACGAAATGTCAATTGTGCATTTGATGGTAAATACATGTAGTAGCCAATGTACCGAAAAATATTAAATAAAAACTGAATGATTGGGATAAGAATTATAAGGATTAAACATATTTTTTCTAGAGGTTATTGATGTGTAAACTGGGTCACTGACTCACAAACTTTACATAAAAGTCCTTCGGACTTTTATTCAGTTTGTGAGTTAATCGCTCCAGTTTACACACAAGTAACCTCTAGAAAAAATGTGTTAAATCCTATAATAACTTCAATTGAGTAAATATATCCTACATTATCAGATTGTTATATCTATTTGTGTACATATTAACTATTATAAATATCCTGAATGATGAATGGTGAAATTTAGAAACAAAAGACAAGTTAAACTGGGGTAAGAAAAAAACAAACAACAACAGATAATGGACAATTTCTCACTAAACTCTATATAAGGACACGAGAAAATTTTCAGTACGTGAAATCAGGGTAAAGACACGTGTTTCGGAAGCGTAAATGATTTCTGGTTCTTGCGTGTTTAAATTAGAATATTTTAGTTATTACTTTTGCTTGCCGAAAAAAAAAAAGTTTAATCTGTTTCTGAAAAAATACTAAATATAACTACATCCGCATAAGAGTAAGGGTTTAATACATATACATTAAATAATTGTTATCTGACCAATTATCTTTAATGGTTCAGTCTTTACTTAAATTCACATTAGATAGCAATACACAGTTAGGAGTGTAGTTTCGCATTTTGGCCATTGAGGATTTTTCAATATATGAAAGTAATTGTGCAATAAATTGTTTTTTTTAGACAGCTGATGACTAATTTAGCCTTCAAGGTGGGTTTAAAAGAACATCAATATTGTTTTTTACATGTTTTATGACTATTTTCTGTCTGACTGTCCGTATTTTTATAGCCAGACCGGTCATTGGTCAAGAAATTTTTGTAATGTTGACAAATACTTTTTCACACGAACTTTTTGACGCAATTTTACAAAAATATTAGACGAAATATGGACCAGATTGCCACGGAGGATAAAGCTTTCTTATAAAGCTTTTGCATTTTTCAATTCTGCTATTTATGTGTAATTACGAAGTTATTGTTGCTTTGTAATGGAACAACCATATAACTTTGAAAGGGGGGATTATGTTTTTTTAATTCTAAAATTCTTTTTCGTATCAGACAAGCATTAAATCATTTATTGTTTGGAGAACTTAAGATTAAATTTAATGGCAAAAACTCTCATTCAGAACATTTCTGTCCTCCCAAATTAAAATGTTTGTTTCTTCAAAGTTTAATGGAAATATTTTCTACAATGAAACATTTTTGACCATAATATATTTAAATGAACTTGCAAATCTCAAGTCAAGTAAGCGTTACACGTCAATTTTCAGAAAAACGGCGAATAAACCTGATAAGTTCATTTATGGTTTTATATTTTGTATAAAAAGGAAAAATCAACCTTTTTCAAAGCAAAAAATTGTTGAAAAAGTTGATAGTTGTGGATAAGATTGTTAAAATTTGGATATGTTTGGCTGCAGAGTCTGTTTAACCAGACAACTCAGTTTTGGTGTAAACGAAATAACTTTCATTTATCATTCGAAGAAACAATAAATTATGAAAATGGATACCTTGTTATTTGCTTTGTCCCGTCAACTTTCAAGAAAATTGGTAATCAATCATGTTTTTTAAGATTGTGTCAATCTACCTTCCAACCCTCTCTGTAATTTTCATTTGCAATATCGGAAAGTACTCGTTTCCGGAATTGGAAATCAAGCGTTACCGGCGATTGAATTGGAAAGCAAGCGTTCTGCATATACACCGTGTTTAAACAAAATGCATACACAATAGTAAATAAAAAAAAATCGGGAAAAAAAGGGGAAGGGGGGGGGGGGGGGGGGAGGGCTTACCCTAAAACTAGCTAAACTTTTAAACATAACCCTAAATTAAACATGGCTTCCTACACATGATACAAATGAATGCCCGAGGAAAGCTACAAAAGGAATAAAGTGGTCTATAAAATAAGAGGCGATATTGATAAATTGGTGGATACTTGTTTTTATCGTGTCAAAATGAATATTTCAAAATATTGTCACTCGATTTATAATCGCTTCATTTCCTCCACCTTTTAAAGGTATATCTCCGTGAATTGAGCATGCTTAAAATATTTATTTCTGGATCTTAAGAAATTAGCAGCCCATCTATTAATCGATTATTTTCATGGTGTTGGGAAAGGCATAATACCTTCACAATAAATTTTGAATAGTTTCCTTCGTTTAACTCTTCTAAAACTACACGTTCTATTGGTTTTCGAAGCATAGTTTACATCTAACAATATTTTTTCTATCCCCTCAAGAATTTTCGCCCAGGGAGGGGGGCATTTCAATAGCGTATCAATCGCTCTCTAGTCTTTAAACTATAATGAAAGTATCACGGCAACAATTCATATACATGTACATTTATCATTAAATCAAATCCAACTAAAAAGTCCGATCCATGAGATCATTTTCTGAAAATTAGAGACATTTTGTCATAAAAAGCGCCACTATTTGATTGACATATTTAATTCATAACAAGTACAGTTAAGTTTAACCCCTTACATGTGTCATAACCCATTAATGTTGCAAATCATATATAGACACGCCTTACTCATTAACATATTTAATCCACTCAAATTTACGCTTTTCGTGAATTAAAAACGTTAATTCGTAAAAGGCGTGCTATATATATATATATATATATATATAACTTTTACAAGGAAATTGTACGTTAAAGTTGTCTTGTCTTCAATGAAGGAGCATGATCAGTTATGCTTGTGTATACATGGAACCTCAATCAATTACATACAACAACACAGGTCCAGACTAGGTATTGGTATTGTTTTACAAGTTTTACAATTTAAGCAAATACTATTTATGAGTTTTTTAATTATTATTTTATTGTTTTGTAGCTTAGAACAAGTTTTACAGTTCAACTGCCTTCCACTGATTTAAACCAAATTGGAGGAAAACCGACTTGTGGAGTTTTACTAGTGAACCAATTAGGCAGAAATGATTTCTTAGATTATACTGGCATTGTACAGTGTAACAGTGGTACAACAACTGTTGTCAGACAAACGTCGGATTCTTCAAATAAGGTGATGAGCAGTGGAAATCAGTGTGAAAATGGCATCAGGAAAATGACAACAGTTGACAGTAGTTCAAAATGCAGTAAGAGGTTCTGATTATTTGGTCTGGAGAGGCAAGGACTAGATAACTTTCTAAAATGCTTTTCTGTCATTTTGAAAGCTTGAAAGTTCAGTAATATTTGAAATTTACTTTTAAGGTTTTGATATGAAAGGGTTAGAACTATTACTAGTATACATTTGTTCAAGAATATGTTCATTTCTGATACAAATGCTCAGATTGCTGACATCATTATATGTCAAAATTAGTGTTTTGTCTCGCCTGCGACCAAACATGCCAAAGTTGCAGAATGCGAGACATAGGTATTACAATAAGGCGGCCGACGGCGTAAACTATGTGTATAAAGCTTTATAGTTCAGAAGCTAGAAGACCTGGATGCTTCATACCTTGTATGCAGATACATTATGTTACGAACTTTTACGTTTATTATTTGTCTATTGTCCTTGACCTTTTTTTAAATTGATTTATCTGACCTTGACCTCAATTTCATGGTTAATAGGAAAATGTATAGTTTTTTTTTGTTTGGTCTATTTCCTAGATAGTATAAGCAATAGGGCCACTTTTTTTGGTGTATGGAATGATTGTAAGGTATACCTATCGGACTGGCAGGTTTATCTGAACTTGACATCAATTTCATGGTTCATTGGACAATGTTTAGTTTTTGTGGTTTGCTCTATTTCTCAGATACTGTAAACAATAGGATTACTATATTAAGTGTATGTAATGATTGTCAGGTGTATATGTCCGTCTTGCATGTTTCATTTGACCTGAACCTCATTTTCATGGTTCATTGGACAATGTTCAGTTTATGTGGTTTGGTCTATCTCTCAAATACTATAAACAATAGGTCAAGTATATTTGTTGAAAGGAATAAGTGTAAGGTGTACATGTTTGTCTGGCAGGTTTCATATGACCTTGACCTCACTTTCATGGTTCATTGGTCAATGATAGGCTGGTGTGGTTATGTCAGTTTATTAGTTACTATAAATAATAAGTGAACTATATTTCGTGAATGAAATTATTGTAAAACAAAGGCAAAAGATATCAGAAAGACATTCAAACTCCTAAGGCAAAAATATTCCGACAACGCCTTGGCTAGAAAAGAAAAAGACAAACAGACAAACAATAGTACACAAAACACAATATAGAAAACTAAAGACTGAGCAACACGAACCCCACCAAAAACTCGGGGTGAACTTAGTGGCGCCTGAAGAGTAAGCAGATACTTATCCACATGTGGCACCCGTCGTGTTGCTTATGTTATTACAAACCCGGTAATAAGTCTAATTCGGTAGGTCACATTCGGGACAAGGGGACGGGATTGTAGTTACGACATTCGGAACATATCCGCTTTCAACTGTGAAACGGCTATTCCGTAACGGTCAATCAACAAGTGATGGGCTCCGTAAAACTTACGAAAAGATGATTTCAACTTCACCACTTGGAACTCTTGGTTTAATTGCTTCCTTGTGAGCAGCAACCCTCTATCAAGGAAATCATGATAAGAAATACAAGCCCTGGAATATCGTATCAACTGGGAGATATATATTTCGTATGCAGGCGCTGCTGGAATGTTGCTACATAGAAATTGAAAGTTCACAATTGGGAAGCTGAAATCATCTCTTTTGTCGTAAAGTTTTGTTTTCAACCGACCTTCATTGTCAATTTCCAGATGTAAGTCAAGATATGAGGCAGACTTAACTGTATCTGTTGTATCCTTTATCTCAAGTTCGATGGGATAGATGCGTTCAACATAGTCACCAAATTTTGAATTATTTAGTGAGAGAACATAATCTATATAGCGGAAAGTAAAGTTAAAGGATACTGCTAACTTCTTTTATTTCTTCCTATGACGTCAGCCTCATATGAATATAGGAACAAGTCAGCAATAAGAGGGGCACAGTTTGTACTCATGGGAATACCGATTGTTGGTTGAAATATGTTGTCAATCAAGAAATCAAGCATCTTGATAATGTCAGTTTCACAGAATTTTTTGTTTGAATCAGAGTTATTTTTTACAAAGTAGGATTTATCCCTCCCTAAGACAAGATACTTGTCTCTACATTTTTATGAAACAAAGCAGGACCAACTCTTTCAATTTGTCTTTTAGTTTGGAATGGGGAATACATGTTTAAAGTGTAGAAAAGTCAAATGTTTTAATACTATTGCTAGATGAAAGAGTCTTAGATTGTATGTACTCTAAAAGAATTTTTAATATCCTCATCTGATTCACGCCATCTCTAGAATAGGTAGATTCACAATAACTTTGAAGCCCGGCTTTGATTGCTGATAAACTTGATGTTAATAATTTTGAAAGAGGTTTCGTGGAGCACTTGGAAGACCCAGCAATATACCGTTGTTTGTAAGGACACTTATGTACTAGTGGTTTGGGCATCCAATACAGTGATGGAAAATCCAGTTTTTGACCTTTGGTTGAAATTCCAAGGGAACATAATACAGACCTATGATTATCCAGGATTTTCTCTTTAGTAAGTGTCATGGGGGTATATGTTAAGTTTCCAAGTGAATTGTCAATACCTAATTTTTTATCAAGCAGTTCATGTAATGTAATTTACATACAAAGACGATGTTGTTTAATTCTGATTTGTATCAACGACCTCACAGCCTTAATCCATTTGGAAAGAGTATATACGTCTTCTTTATCACGTTTAAGCCATTGCTTGGCATAATCCCCGACTGAATCCATTAGCATTTTGAAGTTGTGTTTCCAATTGATGGATTTAGAATTTCTAGGAGAGTGTGTCGTACACAGTGGAAGAAGTTTAGAAATTAATAAAATATTTAAAAGTTTTGCCTTTTGTGGGACCATGTCTCTATCATTCAATTTGAATAGTATAGAAAAAGAAATAGTTGCTTTTATTTTATATTTGGTTTATTTTTGCAGTTCCTTGTCCTCCAGGAACATATTTTGGAAGTGGTGATGCATGTAATATTTGTCCAGATGGAAGGTTCCAAAGTAACTTTGGACAGGATGAATGTTTGGCCTGTCCTTCAGATAATCTTGTTCCATCAGAGGACAAAACTACATGTTTAGGTGGGTAATTATAAAACAATGCAGAATAACTGCTAACATATAGATTTTACATGAATAACTTTACAAAAATGCATCAGTAATGTAACCTTATTTTCATGGTTCATTGGTCAATACATGGTTTTCATGGTGGTGTCTATTATTAAAAAAATATAGGGAAAAGGTCAAATATTTTTAATGTATGAAATGATTGCATTATGTAAATGTTGTCTGGCACGGTACTTCTGACCTTGACATCATTTACATGGATCATTGATGATGTTAAGTTTATTTGACTCTTGTACTAAAACCTTCATATAACAGACTTTCAACATAAATTCAATCATGATAAGTAAAGTAGGCGAGACATTTCAGCGTGAGCACTCTTTGTTTTAATAAAAAAAGTTACCAAAAATTGTTATGTTCAAAAGGTTACAAAATTGATTATGCAATTGAAAACTTTCAAAATAAATATGTAAGTGAAAGGAGTAATCCTATGTTTGTCTCCAATATTCTCAACTAAACAAGAAAATTGGAAAAAAAAACTACTTGACATAAGGATGCTTCACAAAAAAGTACAAGGATTTCACATATTCTGTCTCTTATTACTGTCAAAATAATATCCATTACTAGAAACTGTTATTTTCAAACAAATGTAAACTAGATTAATTAATTGTTATTGCTTAAAGAGTATAACACAAGCTGTAGTGTCTTATATTACCCACTGCAAAAGATGCACTGTCATAGAACATAACCAGTGTTAATAATATAGTTCTTTTATTTTCAGCTGTATGTCCAGCTGGATTTATATCTGTTGATGGTTTGCCAACCTGCACTCCATGTCCAGAAGATTATTACTGGGTAAACAAAACTTACTGTCAACCTTGTCCAAATGGTTGGAGTACCTTATGGAAAAATGGTATCCCAGACATCAATAGTTGTAAAGGTAGGTCTTTATGTAAAGGGAGTTAGTTGAACAATTGTCTACCGATGTCTTAACTTGTTAATTTATTTAGATAAACGAACAGTATCAATATCACCCGTCGCTGCAAATATTTTATCTGTTCAAGGGAAGGAATTTCAACAATAAAGCAAGTTATGGCGAGCTCAGCATACCCCACTCGTAGTTCAAAGTATATACAAATAGGAAGTACATGTAGGTGTCTGACTAATATGAAAAGCACTCACAACTAACAAAATATCAGCAATAAATTGCTATTCAGTAGAAATGGCGAAGTGTGTGACGATTATGTTTTAGTTCATTCTACATAATTAACGATCCAAAGCCGTAAAACTGTGACGGAAATATTTGTTGGATGAGCAAACGGACAAAGTGAATGCAATATAAGTCCCACTCGAACACAAGGCTTAATAATATATCCCTTAAAATAGAAAATTGTGAACTTTCAGATGAATAAAGCCGTATGTATGAAAATCGGTCACAATTTTGTATAATGTGGTTAAAGGTCAACAACAGTATATTACCAGATGTCGTCTTATCTGTAAATTTATTTATCGGTATTATTTCGGGAATTTAAATCATATTAAAAATCATTGCACATTCATTGATAGACCATTTATAAATCCTGTACGATATATCAAAATAAAAAAGGATGTTTGTTTAGGTCGTTTGACTGTTTTGATATAAATTCACATAAAAATTAAATTTAAACGACATGTCATAATTCAAAACTCTCACGGAGGAGTAAAGTAGGGTTTGGATTTTAAAATCATTGGATATTTTAGTCAGATTTTGACCTTTTCCTTTCAGACAACAGCTATGATATTCTTGTTTTTTTATTTAAATATTTAAGTATCTATAGGTATTCTATCCAACGTTTCATGGTGTTAATTGACGATCGAAATATAACCGATCACCCTATCAACAGAAACAGAATAAGCTTTTTGTGTGCTAACGTACAGAAATGCATGACGACAATAACTGAAACATGTAAAAGTAAGTAATTTTTAAAAACTTTTGAAATATGGAAAGAAAAATAGACCTTCATGACTTACTTTTTGAGATAATTTGGTTTGAAATTTGCATATTTGAAGGAAAAACCCTGAAATTTCATAAATAAGGACTTTTAAGGAAAATACCAATACTTTAAACGAGCAGTCATAATTTAACCGGTTTTTTTGTAAACTGTTCCCTTGTTCCATGGCATCAGCATACTGTAACAAGATAACGGTTGAAATGAATAATTATATCATGAATTCTTTTAATACAACTGATATAAAGAAGTTGAAAATATTTTTGCGTCTACACAGAAGTGTAGAAAAAATTCTATCGTTGATTTTTTCTTAAAATTTTGGCGGAGCGTTCTTGAAACAGAACTTGATAGATTGCAAAAGAAAAAACTGGGGGTCCATGTGCTTGTTTTTTCAATAAAAGCAATAAACCTTAGTTTTTAATGGCAAACGGGACCTTTGCCAATAAGGCGCCAAACTACGTTGAAATAAGTTTTATTCGCAACAACGTCGTGAAATCTTTCCCGCCGTTCACTAACTACTACGTTGTCAATTTCAGTGGTAGAGCCAAGGTTTTTTATTTGAAAGCAATGATATTAATCATGAAAATTAATAAAGCTGGTTACTCGTAAAATAGCATAGAATATTTGCCAAACCTTTATGAATTGTTACGAAACTTGGATAGAAAAAGTATTCTAGTAAATTACTTTTAGAAAAGAAATGTTCGGAAACAAAACAGATACATCTAATAAAAAAATTAATTTACATCTCTATCCGACATTAGTCATACAATTCATGTAGACAACAAAGCTTTAGCATAGTTTTAATTATTCAAAAGCCCCGGCATGACAAAATGTGCAACAATTATAAAGTAAGGGGGATGATATAAAAAATAAGGGCATTTGGTATGATTGCAAAACAGACAACTATCAACCATAGTTCAAATGACGAAGATAAACGCTATTAAAGGTCACCCTACAGCCTTCAACACAAAAAAAAAAGAAAAAGAAAAAGCCACACCGTATAGTCAGCTTTAAAAAGCCCCGACATGAAAATGTGAAATAATCAAACAAGAAAACTAACGACCTACTCTTTAGGTACTTTTTTGAACACAAAATCATACCCACATTAAATCGGGTTAGCTTAGCTTAGTCCTTTACCTGATTTCAGTGTAGTATAACATTTCATAGGAAGTACAGCAGTCGATAATAGAGCATGAAATTTAATGATTCTGTATAATAGATAAGTTACCTAAGCTTGTCTTCGGGGTATTTTTTTTATTACGGTACATATAATCATTGAATTACTTGTCTGTATTATACCTTCAATTTAGGAGTGAGTGCAACCACATTGTTTGTCCGGTCTAACAAATATTTTGTTTCTTATCTGAGAAATTACATTACAAAAAGACTTCGTATTTGGTCAGTAACTTAACATCAATGACTTGCAACTCTGGTCTGTCAAATACCTAATTCCTGTGTGCCAATTTTACTCTCTCAATATGACATATGGGGATATGCTTAGCACATCAACGGGTGCGTTTTTGTTTTTGGTCTATGATACGGGGCTTAACTCTGTGTCATTTTAACTGACAGTTTCTCCATACACACATATATATTCAACTGGGTTAAATTCTAAAAAATGCCGTTAAACTCTTTAATGTACCTTTCCAAAGTCAGGATCAGTATGATGCGCTGTCATTATTTATTACGTTTTATGTCATTTTGATGATAGTCTCTGTTTATCCGTACAGTTCTAATTACGATTTAGAGTTTGCCAAATGGTAAAGTTACTATATACATCACTTATTGTTTTTATTTGTGTAGTTGGGTTTCTCTCTCATCGACATCTTATGTTTTACATTTCTCGTATTCATTTTCTATATGAAACAATAGACATACAAAAATAAGAATGTGGATTTGATTTTTTTTCCCATTCGAAGTTAATATTGTTGACTTCCTTATAAATGAATAAATATAACAATTGTCGTGATTTGGCCGATTTTTATTGCAGGTACTTTTTTCAAATTCGCTCAATCGGGATTATGACGTCAGTGGATTTTCCGCAAATGTGAATACATCTGAAGCGACGTCGCCAAATGTAATCATTCTTATTAGAAACATCGCGAAATTACAACGTTCCGATTACCAACATCGCGAAAACAACACGAAAAGTTTTGAAAACGTTATTATCTGCCCCTGCTACTGTATCGTATGCCCTTAATGCGCAAATAGCTCAGATAAGCACGCACCATCATCATCATCGATGACTGTCATGCGTGTATTCATATTGTGATGAAGGAATGATGCTTGACATTGACTAAATTCAGTTCTGGAAAAATTCACACGCCAACCTTAGTTCACACTGAGTATCCTTTGCACGTTGACACCAAATATTAAAGGAAGTCAGATGACATTTGACCTTCAAATAAGACCAGTTCAAGCTCAAACTTTCCTTCTATCAAACTATGTGTATTGGCGAGCAAACAGAATCTTGACGTGTGGCCGATTTCACACGGAGCCTCTTCAGATTGTTATGGCAACGTTTAGACTTTCCCTTCGATTCATAATTTGATCGGTTTTCGATTGACGTCGACTGAAATATCTATATCTGATAGCGATAATATAAAAGATAAGTCATTGATTTGTTGGGATGTTTCTTTCGGTGTCTTTGGCATAAATCCTTAACTAAACAAACACGATGTAGTGTCACATCCTGTAATATCATTGCAGCATGTAGGATTTTACATACATCTGAATTTAACGACTTGCACAACTCATGAACAAGCATGTATCGCCTACACGAGCGCCGACCATCCTTAGTGCTAGCTATCATTTTCTGTTTGAGTTCACAGTTCAGATATTTGACTCATTTATGTGAAATAGTATCTTAAAAGCTTGAATGGTATCACCAATAGATATGGAACTGCTGTAAACGATTGTAGATTTACCCTGGCCTTGTGTGTTTGTATAATAATTGCATCGCCGCAAGATTTCGACAACCTATTTAGTAATTCATACGTTGTGCATTTATCAGCATGCACCTTTAGAAGTAATGCACGAAATTAATAAAGCAATATCGACATTATGAAGGCCTTATAATATAACCATCAATTCAGAATTTATTCCTGATATCAACTTCACAAATGCAGTGTCGTGGTCAGATTTCTTGTTCCGTTTTCATTTCTTCTTCATTTTGTTATACAAGCCAAATGAGTAAAGGCATTTTCATTAAATTTGTTTTTGAAAAAAAATGTAATATCATTGATGTAGGACAACACTTCTACAACCTATAAATCATATCTTATATTTTTTTACTTTCTGAAGTTCAATAGAACTACTTTTCCCTTGTCAGTAAAAAGTATAATTTTTTAGAAGTTTGAGTTTTACAAAAAATACATTCCAGCCAAAATAAAGACGTATAACTTTCTGGACGCTATTTGGGAGCTACTGAAATGTGACATTTTCGGAAAATATTTCACAAAAGATTCGGAATATTGTTTAAACGTTTTTTTTAACACAATGTAAACAGCTGAAAGTAAACATTTTTAGAACACAATATTTATAACTTCTCTCATTGTTATGAATAACAAAAACAATGAAATAACAACAAAACATATATAAGTAAAGTGTAAAGACAGAAAGAAGCGATCTAAAATAAAACAATATAAATGTTAAATGATAATAAAGTTTTGGCTTCACAGTGATAGAACTAATTGCATGGTGTGCTTTATTTGAATTATGACATCTGGGAAAAAGAATTAAACATGTTAGAAATGTTTAAAATGAACGTTTTCTTTTGTTTAAACTATATTTCAAAGTGTATTTACATGCACAATAGATACAAATGAAGCGAATAGAAATTGCCTTGTTATAAGCAGGAACAGGTAAATATCGTGTTAACCACTACTGAAATGAAGACGATTTACACAATTAGAATGGTATATATATGAAAAATCATTGTCTTTTTTTATCA